GCAGAACAGTAGGACGTTAACCCCATTTCATTTCATTTCGAAGTTATTGTTTTACAATTTAAAATTATCTAGGTCAGTGTGTTTTCTATAGAGCATGTGTGAGCTACTGGGATGAATTTTTCTACTGCCAATTAATAAATAATTATCATAAGCCTTATTAATATTTTATTTTTAAAGCCAATATATACATTTTTGTGTACACCATGCTGACAACCTGGTATATACATTTGAAATGAAATGAAATGAAATGGGGTTTAACGACCTACTGTTCTGCCAAGGGATCTTTTACGTGCATTCCAATGTATACACGGGACCTGCATCACTGACAAGGGGGGACCACGCCGGAAAATCGGGATGAACTTTCTCGGCCAATGCAGGGATCGAACACCCGACCTCCAGGCTAGCGAGCCAGCGCTTACACGTAGGGGTCTTTAGCAGTGGGAGGAAACCGGAGGATCTGGAGAAAATCCACGAGGTTGGACAGGCGACCCTACTCCTTGTCACGTACAACCGGGGATTCGAAACCACGCCAGTCGATTTAATGACAGACTTTATGATACAGCGCGCGTACACTAACCATTCAGCCATCCACCCCCCCTCAACTATAATAGGTAAAAACTAGATAATGTAAAGTGTATATGCTGAAAATTTCAGTTAAATTGATCAACTCTGAACCAAGATTTTAGCGATAGAATTTTGGGCCTAGCCTCGATCATAATTACTAAAGTCGGTAAGATAAAAAACCATAGTGTTGATTATCCATTTCATGATTAAATGTGACCGTCCGCATCTAAATGAGTTGGAATTGCGGGAGAATCAATAATGAGAAAAAGACAAAATAAGTGAAAATATTGATTTTGAACGAAATTGAGATTTTCACAAAAATGAGTCTATAAATATACTGTCTATCGACACAGAAGATCAAAATAGCAATAAAACATTTTAAAACACCTGTATTTGAACGTTTTGTAAGAGTACCGTATTCTTAATTCTGTCCTATTTCTCAAAATTCTTGGCGAAATTAGTTATTTTTCTTCGCTCGCAGTGGGGCGACCGGTCATTCCTCTTGCATAAAAATTGGCATCGTTGTAAAGCGAAGCATCTCTAGTTTATAAATATGATCAAAATATTGTTGATGAATTGATTTTGAACGGATACAATCGAGTTTTAAAACCCTCCAAAAATATAAATAAACTCCGCCTGTTGCCATGCTGTCCACACAACTCCTTTGCTGATTGGCCCGGACACTGCGTGCAAGGCATTATCGATAAATATTTGTTTTTCGCAATGTTTTTGGGTACCTACATGCGATTCACTCTGATAAGTGGCAGAAAAAAAAAATAATTATGATCGTATAGATTGCCGTTGAGTGTTAATCGAAACCACGTGGCTGATGATGTAAATTATTACTAATACTATTACTAATCAACTGTCACGGGTCAATGATAAAGCCGTCGAGAACTCGTTATTTACTCCGAATAATTAATCCAAGTGGTGATTGTTTGATATCTCATATCATCTTTAAAAAAATAATCTATAGGCCTTAAATGGAAATAAACAAAATAGCCAATAATGTTCTTTTCGAAGAGAATTTTATTGATAGCTGAATTCCGTTTAACGTCGCTTCTTCATACGGCATGCAAAGTAAGAAATGCATTTGGGATATTATTGTTTAAAATTCACTTATCACAATGGGTCGAAAAAATGAGAACGACCAACGAGCCGAAATGTGACGATTCTCGAGTCTGCCATTGAGTATCCTCTGAATAATGTTGATATTTACATCAAAGCCAAAATGCACGAAAGTGAACGTAAACATTGACTATGAAATTGACATTTCTATAGGGACTCATATTTTGATAACGTCACGTTACCTGAAAATAATAATAGACCAATCGTACACGCAAAATCTTATTTTAATTCACGTGTTAAATGAACACGCATACAGCTGTTGCGGCTTCTTTGATGATTATTCAATCAACAATCTTAATCTCCTGACCACTAGCTGGCACTAAGGTGCTAATTAATTGAGTTAATCTCACTAAAGTTATATTATACACAACAGACTACTAATGTATAGATTGTTCTTCAGTATAACACTATCATGTTAATATTATGCCGTATGTGTTGTGGATGTTTCGTTACGAAAGGAGTGCATTTATTAAGATTTTCGTCGTCAGCACCCTTGAAATCCTAAATAAAAAACATATTAAACGACAAAATATAGCAAATAAATTGCGGAAATAGTCGGATCAAATTTTTACTACGATTTTCATCTTCAGCACCCCTTAAAACCCATGGAAAGATATATTCAACAACAAAACAGCAGATAAATGGCCTGATTGCTATGGGATTTTGTTTTGGAACATATCAAATCTTTGACTTGCTTTTTCTCAAAACTTACTTTTGTGAGTTGGGTAGCTTTTAATGGACACCGCTCAGTCAATTGTTTCCCAATTCAAACAAACTATACATCAAATTGAGTTGGAGAATGTGAAAATAACAATAACTCAATTTTCAAAATTTCCTCATTGTGACTCAGTATGTTGTGGGGGGTCACAAATCATGAATGAAAGTTGAACAGCAAATCAGAACCTAGATCAATACATATCGCAGGCTAGCGATGACATCAATAATTGATTATGGTCTGGATAAGTTAATTAATGTCTAATTAATAATTTAGATAACATTTCAGGTCTAAAGAAAGACATGCAATAGGCAGATGTAGCTCTTGCATAATGTATGTTTAATTAAAAATAAATAAATTAAATACAATAGGCTTTATCATGTTTATAGTGCTTTAATTAAAATTGTAACATGGATAGGAAATCTTCCTTTGTTCTTTTCGTTGAATAAGCAGATTGTTTTCCCTCTAGTAGATTGGGTGGAGCCGTGCAGTAACTACACATGTTCAATGTTATTGGACACTTTTTCTGGTTTACACTAGTTTTAGTAGAAATCATATAGAGAAGTGGGGTGGGTTTTCTGTGCAATAACAATATGCATGATGAGCAGTTGGCAATGTTACAAGTCATTTATAGCACACTTCATTCGTTAACAGGTTTAACCCCTCAGCCTTCGGCCTCTGGTTAAACCTGTTAACACATGAAAGCCATGCTATAAATATAACTTAAATAAATTAAATACAATGGTCTTTAACATAATACTACATCACACTCTTCATTTAAACAAGATCGGAGCAGAACAGTAGGACATTAAACCCCATTTCATTTAAACAAACAATTCATATCAAATATTTCCATGCATCATAAATCACACAGGATCGGTAAGTCATGTGTCAATTTCATATTAATCAAGACTAAATATAATTAAACATAAAGTTTATAATTTCACAATTTATTAAATATTCTAGAGCTAGATCACGTTGCACGAATATAAAAACATAGTCTCCCTCCTTAATATCTTTTTTCATAGTAATAAACAGTAAATATAATTCAACACAAAGCTGGATCATGTTGCATAGTGCTTTATTAAGCAAAATAAATAAAATAAATACAATAGGCTTTAATATAATACTAAATTACACTCTTGATTTAAACAAACAATAAGCATCATACATTTTCATGTATCATAAATCAACGGGAACGGGTATGCCTCGTAATCCCGCCAAATGGAATCACACTCTGGGACTATATTCTTACGCTACAGTTCTTTGCAAATATATTTTCTAAAGGTGCATGCTGAATTACCAGATCGCGTGTAATATATATTCTACAAATTAGGGGATTATTTGATATGTATTCATTCACCAAGTGAATGAGTTTTATAAAGGTGGTGAATTACTCCTTGGATATAAACGGATAAAGATTTCAGTAAAACAGAACAGGTCGTTTATGTGTTGATGTAGATCTATTACTGATTATAAAATATTAAAGGCTTGCGAATTCCAAGTCGTAAAGCCTGGCATAAGATGGTGTTTCCGAACAAATCTTAGCGGAAAATCGAAAGGGGAATTGAGCGAAAAATCGCGGGGAAATTGAGCAAAAATTACTGTGAAATCTTAGCGATTTCTTAGTGTTTGGGACAAACTGTACATGGGATATGTTTAGCCTCAATCATCGAGTCGCTTCATACAACTGGTGACCAAAAAGATTCTGGCAAACGTTTCGTGTGCCAATTTTAAAATTTCCTTTTTGACTTAAATATTTGATATCAGACGCCCGACTTTTCACGATAAGATAACAACATCAATGTTGATTTAAAGGAGCTAAATCGCTAATATTTTGGACCTAGAAATTGGCACAAATAGGTCGCAACACATATAATAATGTAATATGAACTTATATGAACTGTTTCACATTCAATCGTGTCCGTTTTACTGTGAATTGTCATCAGTTATGTTCGACGAAATACGCCAGAAGTCTTAACTGCAAGTCCATTTCTAGTGTCTGGTTATTCCAGTCAACACCGATATTATTTATTGCGCATGCTCTCCAAATAAGAATATGATATTACCGTTTGACATGACTTGTAGAATATGTCTAGCCTCATTCTTTGAACACCTTGTTACAAATGACGCTGAAACGCATTATGGTACACGATTCGTGTACCAATGGTAAAATGTTTATTTTGTTTTAAATATTGGATATCAGAAGCCCATCTTTTCCAGGTAAGATCACAACACCAATGCTGATTTAAATTGCAAAAAAAATTGTGTTTTCAATGTCGAAGATTTTGGATGATATTGAGTTACGGACTTAGATACTTTAAATTGACCAAATTGTGAAGTGAAAGCCTTGGATGGAATAAATGTATAAACTACTGATAATATTTACATATCATTTAATATTAACCAGTGGTTGCCAGGCAATATACGCCCACATTTTGCAAGTGATTTTTCGTACAATCAGGGGCCATAATCCCGGCAGTTACGGTCTGAAATGCACGAATATCGAAATGGACTGAGATACATGTATTTGGGATATAAAGATATATTTTAAGTTTCATCAAAATCGGATAAAAATTGTGACTTCTACACGACACTATTTGTGTACAAGGAGCAACCATTTTGTCAGGCAGTTTTGGTTCGATTTTCGCGACCGTCATTAGGGTGTAACAGTGATACATTTAAACGCTTTCTAAAATTGGATAAAAATTGTGAACTCCAGAGGGTCCTCAAGCTAAAAACGTGATCAGGGGCCATAATCCAGGAAGTTATGGTCCGATATACGCAAATATAAAAAGGAACCAAGATCTTTGGATTATAAACATGTATTGCAAGTTTCATCAAAATCTGAGGGTCCACAGCCATGATATACCATATATTTACCCTATTTGCGTACGAGGGTCTGCCATTTTGTCCAGTAGTTCATGAAATTAGTTCATGAAATTCAAACTCAGCCACCATTATGGTGTAACAGTGATATATTCAAACATTTTTTTTTTTTAAATCAGATAATAATTGTGACCTCTTGAAGTACCACAAGCTAAAAACGCAATTTTTTGTACAAACATGGTCCATATGATACGATATGCGCGAATATCGAAAGGAACCAAAATCTTTGGGTTATAAACATGCATTTCAAGTTTCATCAAAATCGGATGAAAATTGTGACCTCTGGAGTGTCCACAGGCTACATGTAAAAGCGTAATTTAATTTTTCGTACAATCAGGGGCCATAATCCATGAAGTTTCGATCCCATACATGCAACGGACAGGGACGACAACAATATACGTCCACATGAAAATGAGAGCATATGAAAATGAAATATACAGTAAACCTCGCACAAGTTGGATTCGGATTCATCCGAACATGCACGAACGTCCAAGAAGAGATTTACATGCTTGGAGAGTATATGAGAATGGATATTTAAGTGCCAGCATGATGTTAAGGATATGTTCCCGACACCATGGACCTACATGTATTAAATAGATAGTCCTGGATTGACAAGTAACCTGTTGTTACTAAAATACTTTGAGACGCGTACTGCCAGGCGGTTTTTAAGCGGATGTCCTTTGCCGTGTCTGGATAATAAAAAATTGAGCGGATGTTGTTTCTATAGCAATTCTTTCGATCCCGCATCTTTTCTGCAAATTGATGGGATTGAAATTGTTGTGCCTGTTCTTTTACCTTTCTAAGCTTTACCCGAATCCCCTCAGCACGCCAACGATGGCAAAGGGAAATGGCTACTCACGCACATCATTCTGCGTGAGTAAATACATGTACTCGCCTCACTCGCGCAAGTCTATATTTGCGTGAGTAGTCATCTACTCACCTCCAATTTGCTCGTGGCAAGCCCTGCACAGACCCCCCAAAACACTTTCCCCTATCATTTTGACTCAAATCAGCCGGGAAAATTCGAAACTCGCTGTCTGCTGTATAAGACACTTTCCGGGAAAATTTGGGACATTTTTCAAAGATGGCAACAAAATAGAAGTTATCTACTCTCACACACGAACAAAAGCTTGAAACGTGCCTTTGAATCAATTATTATCCGGTTCTTGTAGTTTATTTTTAATCGGGCTAAGATTGAATTTCGGTCTTCGACTAACTCGGATCTTCGCTCAACTCGGATAAAATTGGCCAGTCCACTTAGATACGACTTACGTTTACACAATATATCACCTAAATGACCTTACTACAGTTTTTCTAAAGGATTTTTTTCTAAAAATATAACAAACATTCTAATGCACAAAATCAACATTTTAAATAAGACCTGACTTTATGTGTCACTTTTTTCCGGACCTTAATTGGTAACATTTTTATATCATAATTCCTTATTTTGATATCATTAAATCTAATTTCGTATCTTTACACGTTACGGAAAACGACAGTGTTCGAACTATAAAAGGTATTTCTCCAGTATATTTTCTAAGAGTACTACAAACATCACATTTATAAGATTTCTCAAATATGAATGATCATGTGTTTCCGTAAAGTACCTCGTTCAGTATATGATTTACTACAAACATCACATTCAATAGGCTTCTTACACATGGATTATCGTTTTGTGTTTGATTTACAAAATACATTACATTGAAAAGGTGTTTCTCCAGTACGAACAGTACCATTCTCAGAGTGAATAATCGACTACACACAACCCATTCAAATGGTTTCTCTCCAATATGAATTCTCATGTACTTCCAGTAAATGATTTACTACAAACATCACATTTATGAGGCGAAAAACCGAGGTCCGTGTATACATTGGAATGCACGTAAAAGATCCCTTGGCAGTTGGAATTCAAAATAAGAGTAGGCGATAGTGCCGCTGTCCGGGCAAAATTTCCCTCATAGCACACTGTATGGTGTATGCCCGTCTTCATTAGCCCAGGTTAGGAGCAGAACAGTAGGACGTTAAACCCCATTTCATTTCATTTCATTTCATTTCATTTCATTTCATTTCATGAGGTTTCTGCCATATGAACTATCATGTGTTTCCGTAGACTACCTCGTTCAGTATATACTTTACTACAAACATCACATTTATGAGGTTTCTGCCATATGAACTATCATGTGTTTCCGTAGACTACCTCGTTCAGTATATACTTTACTACAAACATCACATTTATGAGGTTTCTGCCATATGAACTATCATGTGTTTCCGTAGACTACCTCGTTCAGTATATACTTTACTACAAACATCACATTTATGAGGTTTCTGCCATATGAACTATCATGTGTTTCCGTAGACTACCTCGTTCAGTATATACTTTACTACAAACATCACATTTATGAGGTTTCTGCCATATGAACTATCATGTGTTTCCGTAGACTACCTCGTTCAGTATATACTTTACTACAAACATCACATTTATGAGGTTTCTGCCATATGAACTATCATGTGTTTCCGTAGACTACCTCGTTCAGTATATACTTTACTACAAACATCACATTTAAAAGGCTTCTCACCGGTGTGAGTTCTCAAATGTCTCCGAAGATTAAAATGTAAGAGAAATGATTTATTACAAATATCACATGTATAGGGTTTTTCCCCTGTATGGATTTTCATGTGTCTCTGCAGATGACCACTTTCGGTGAATAATCGACTACAAACACCACATTGAAATGGCTTCTCACCCGTATGAATTCTCATGTGCTTCCGTAGAGTACTGCGTTCTGTATATGATTTATTACAAACATCACATTGAACAGTTTTTTTTACAGTAGGAGTTTTTTTCGGTTTCTGAAGTTTAATTTTCTGTGTTAATGATCCACAATTAGTTCTCACATGTTTCAGTAGACTACATCTTTGTCTAAATGATTTACTACAAATATCACATTTGTATGGTGTTTCACCAGTATGAATTCTCATGTGTTGCTGTACACCAACAGAACTTGAAAATAATTTACTACAAACATCGCATTTATATGGTTTTTCACCTGTATGCGTTCTCATATGATATTGCAAACCTTGGCTAAAACTAAACGATTTATTACAAACATCACAATGATAAGACTTCTCGCCTGTGTGGGTTTTCATATGCCTGTATATATGACTACTTTGTGAAAATGATTTACCACAAACATCACATTTATATGGCTTTTCACCTGTATGAATTCTTTTGTGGTTTTGTAGGCCTCCATCATTAAGAAATGATTTATTACAAACATCACATTTAAAACGTTTGGCTACACCATGACTGTCAGCTAATTGTACATGTAGGCCTACATCACTACCCTGACTGTCAGCTGATTGTAGGCCTACATCACTATCATTATTAGCTTTCAACTCTTCTTTAACGTGTATTTTACAATGTTTCTCTAAATCAATATTCGATTTAAATTCTTCATCACATAAATTGCACTGATGAACGGTTTCAATATCTTCAGTTTTCTCTTTCTTAACATGACAATATTCATCAACATCATCTGTTTTCTCTTCTTTAACATGACAATATTCATCTACATCATCAGTTTTCTCTGCTTTAACATGGAAATAGCCATCTACATCATCAGTTTTCTCTTCTTTAACATGACAATATTCATCTACATCATCAGTTTTCTCTTCTTTAACATGTATTTTATTGTGTTTTTCTAAATCATCAAGTTGTTGAAAAATCTCATCACATACAACACACTGATGAAATGTGTTAACATTATTTTCCTGTAATATATAAAAGTTATAACATCATTAGTTTCCTGTAATATATAAAAGTTATAACATCATTAGTCTCCTGTAATATATAAAAGTTATAATATCATGATCATGCAAGTCAGAACTGTCGTCAAACTGAAGCAGAAAGGTCGTTTGTGTTAATTTAAAGTAGCTAAGTCCGTAACTCAATATCATCCAAAATCTTCGACATTTAAAACACGAATTTTTTTGCAATTTAAATCAGCATTGGTGTTGTCATCTTACTTGGAAAAGATGGGCTTCTGATATCCAATATTTAAGACAAAATAAACATTTTACCATTGGTACACGAATCGTATACCATAATGCGTTTCAGCGCCATTTGTAACAATGTACTCAAAAAACGAGGCTAGACATATTCCACAAGCGTTGTCAAACGGTGATATCATGTTCTTATTTGGAGAGCATGCGCAATAAATAATATCGGTGTTGACTGGAATAACCAGACGCTAGAAACTGACTTGCGGTTGAGACTTCTGGCGTATTTCGCCGAACATAACTGATGACAATTCACAGTAAAACGGACACGATTGAATGTAAAACAGTTTATATAAATTCATATTACATTATTATATGTGTTGCGACCCATTTCAAATTTGTGCCAATTTCTAGGTCCAAAATATTAGCGATTTAGCTCCTTTAACTTAAATCCGAAATGACGCGGGACCGAAATGTCGATCCAACCCCCCTCTATATTGAAGAGCTACCCTATAAAGAATAATTGTAATGGTTTATTTTATGCTGTTTTAAAGGTGGATTTGATACAATAAAATCTTACCATGGCAATTCTTCACGACTGTGTGGTTTTAATTTTACAGTTTGACTTCAAGTTTTAGAACATACACTTCGTCTTCCAGCAAACCTTGCAAATCAATGTTGTGATAAGTACGTCGATCAGGGGTTTTAACGGCCGCTTCCAGTCACTCGCATATCGCGGACAGTTTGTCTCTGTTGAACTTAGAAACCTTGCTTTTATCACAAAGACAAATTAACATAAACGCCATTAATCTAAAATTACTTCCGGTTTACCCCACAGGTTAAGGTTGTATTTAGATTCTGGACACGGATCAACCCAACACGAAAACCATTTACATGTACTGCTTGTGATTGTGGTACAGATTGATACTTATAAAATAATAAAACAATGTTGTAATTTTATTAAACTTGAACTGGATTCCCAACAAAGTATTACTACGGGTAAATATATACAAAGTATTATAAATGTTTTATTTATTTATTATTGTTCGAAACCTTGTTATTATTGAATAATTGAGTCTGAACAGTCGTTAAGTAAGTGTGAAAAGTCGTTAAAGATTCATTATGTAAGAGCTAAATCTGCCTATTACAGATTTTATTTTGGCTTCAAATGCTATAAAAATTATTATTTTGACATCTATTTACATGACAAGCCATAATGATTTAATTTAAAGATAGGTTGCCAGGCAATGAAACATAGGCCCTCAGCAGCTAAATCGTCCAGGCAGTCAATAAGAGTTGTCGCATATTTATAATACACTAAAATCTGATTAAGAGTAACAACTCATTAAGTAGGCCTAATTATCAGAAAATTATCAGAATTTGTTTGGTCCATGCTTATGTTTAGTATACAAATTGCTTATTGCTACTTAGCCTAAGCAGAAAATGTTCATTATTGAACTTATAGTCTGCCAGATAAACACAGATTTATGTGTTTTCCTGGAAAAAAGTCCCATCAAAGCAAACTTGGTCTCAAATGAAAGGTGGGATTCATATGTACTCAAGAAAAAAATGAACCATTATGACTGCTTGGGGTCGGGTCAAAGGTCAAGTTTGACTAATCAGAAAAAAGCAGTCAATATCTCAAAAACTATCAATGTTAGACCCTATAAATGTATTGTCAACAATGGGAACTCTATATTTCTGAGTTGGATAAAACAGTCTGCATCCATCTATGATGTCACCATTGGAAAATGACGTCATTTGAACGGGTTATTTTTGATTACCGCTTTGATTTTATGACAAAATCCCAAAAAATTTCAGCATCAGAGGTGTTTAGTACAACCAGTTGGGATTGGTCTCCAGCTAATTAATAAAAATTAAAAAAAAACTGATTTTGTAGCACATAATTTGAATATAAATCGGCCTATTTTCACTAAAATTGCTGCGATATGGATGACAATGGTGGAAAACATATTTGTATTATATGCCTTGATGACTTTGGCACTGATTCAGATTCATCAAAACTGCATGGAACAGGTTAGCTGAAATTTGTAGCCATGATAATTCTTATCTACGGCTGAAATTGATACACAATTCAAGGCTTCGAGCAAGTAAAATTAAGTTCAATTGCAAAATTTTCAAAAACATATCACAGTTTGCACGCATATAAGTAATTATGTTACAAATAGTGAAGAGTGGAACACTGAAATCATAATCTTATCTTACCGATCAGTTTTTCTGTATTTTCGAGCGACATGACACTGCATGATTCTGATTTCGGTGGCCATTTAAAAATGAAGAGAAATTTTGCATAGCAGTTGGGTTTAATCAAATCATATAATTATACTGTAAGGTTACACCATTATCTCAAAGAGAATTGGTTTATTATACGTTAAGCTATGTACAGTACAGTTTGGGGTCAGTGTAACAGGCCAGTAATTTTTTTGTAGTCAACTTGCTTAAAGGATGGCCTTAGGACGGTCCACTACTGTGGCTGGAGTAAGACGGAAGACATCAGTAGTCAATGGGTAAAAATACAGTTATTGAGAGTAGTTTCAAATGTAATGATGTCGATGTGAATGATGTTTCTCGTATCTCTTCTCTAAGTAGTCGAGCTGCTGCTGTTATGATTCTCCGTGATTCTTCTACTTCACTGTACTTTCTTTCATTATAACCCTTTCCATTAGGCCAGGGGGCAGGTGGGGAGGGGGGCAGGTGATACATTAAGAAATGCTGCCTGTAGACGACAAACAAACAAATCAAGAAATAGGCATGGCTCTGCCACTGGGCGTCAGGCATATACCAAAAGAGAGAGAGAGAGAGAAATGGGGTTTAACGTCCACTCAACATAAACTAGGTCATTTCGGGACTAACATATGGTTTAATTTTATTTCAATAATTCGCTTGCGCATAGGGGTCTTTAGCAGTGGGAGGAAACCGGAGGACCTGGAGAAAACCCATGAGGTTGGACAGGCGACCCTACTCCTTGTCACATACAACCGGGGATTCGAAACCCATACACCAAAAACAATAGGGATCATCCTTAGGGTATAAGGAATAAGTATGTAAAGTTTCAAGATGATCATTTAAGAATTGCAGTCTGTAGGCGAACCACAGACACACACATACATACAGACAGGGGAGACGGCAATATATGTCTAAATTATCAATGTGGACCTATTAAAATAACTGAATTAAATATGATGGGCTTTAACATTACAAAATTGCACTCTTCATTTAAACAAACAATTCACATCAAATATTTCCATGCATTATAAATCACAGAGGACCGGTAAGTCACGTGTCATATTAATCAAGACTAAATATAATTTCACAATTTATTAAATATTTTAGGGCTGCATCACCTTGCAAAAAAATAAAAACATAGTCTTCCACCTTAATATCTTTTTTCATAATAATAAAGCGTTAATATAATTAAACACAAACTTTATTACTTCATAATTTAGTAAAACAAGTAGGGCTGGATCACGTTGCATAGTGCTTTATTAATAAAATTAAATAAATTAAATACAATAGGCTTTAATGTATTACTAAATTACACTCTTGATTTAAACAAACAATTAAATACAATAGGCTTTAATGTATTACTAAATAACACTCTTGACTTATAAAAACATGATTTAAAGGATCCCCGCTAAACAGAATCACAACAGACTTGGTAGAAGTTGAAGATTATTTAATAAGACAACGTTTTCGGATCTCATTAAATAATCTTCAACTTCTACCAAGTCTGTTATGATTCTGTTTAGCGGGGATCCTTTAAATCATATTATTCTACCACTTCGCCCCGCCGGTATCATCTTCTTTTGTTCCAATCTCCACGCAGATGTATCAGCCTGTCAGTCTATAACTACTTACTAAGGGAGTGTTGCCGTACCCTTTCCTGTTTCCAGATTTATAAAGATAGGTTGCCAGGCAACGAAACATACGCCCACAGCAGCTAAATCGTCCGGGCAGTCAACAAGAGTTGTTGCATATTCTTACTTTTTTCGGTAATGAAACATTTAAAATACACTAAAATCTGATTAAGAGCAACAACTCATGAAGTAATTATCAGAAAACCATTAGAATTTTTTTGGTTTTTATAAAATTCTGCCCCATGCTAACGTTTTGTATACAAAACTTTTAATATCATGGATTTGTTCAAGTCATAAAAATTCATTGAAAATCAATATACTTGTTCGTCTCAAGATCTTAATCTCTGTGTATCAATCAGAAGTCAATCGGATGATAACTTTAGCCTTTAGAGCGGAAATCAATGAAAATCAAGGGCCATAACTCTGGCAGTAATTATCGGAAATCGCTGAAAACCAATAGACTTCTTCGTCTCATGACCTTAAACACTGTGTATAAATTTAAAGTCAATTGGAAATTAACTTTGCCCTCTAGAGCGTCCAGAAATTGATCAAGGGCCATAACTATGGCAGTTATTATCAGAAATCGCTGAAAATCAATAGGATTCTTCGTCTCATAACCTCAAACACCGTGTATAAATTTAAAGTCAATTGGATATTAACTTGAGCCTCTAGAGCATCCATAAGATTTTTTGAAGTGATCAAGGGCCATAACTCTGGCAGTAATTATTGGAAATTGTTGAAAATCTATAGGTTTCTTCGTCTCATGACCTTAAACACTGTGTATAAATTTAAAGTCAATTGGATATTAACTTTGGCCTCTAGAGCGTCCAGAAATTGATCAAGGGCCATAACTCTGGCAGTAATTATCGGAAATCGCTGAAAATCAATAAGCTTCTTCGTCTCATGACCTTAAACACTGTGTATAAATTTAAGGTCAATCGGATATTAACTTTGGCCTCTAGAGTGTCCACAATATTTTTCAAAGTGATCAAAGGCCATAACTCTGGCAGTAATTATCGGAAATTGCTGAAAATCAATAGGTTTCTTCGTCTCAAGGCCTTAAACACTGTGTATAAATTTAAAGTCAATCGGATATTAACTTTGGCTTCTAGAGCGTCCACAAGATTTTTTGAAGTGATCAAGGGCCATAACTCTGGCAGTAATTATTGGAAATCGCTGAAAATCAATAGGCCTCTTCGTCTCAAGACCTTAAACACTGTGTATAAATTTAAGGTAAATCGGATATTAACTTTGGCCTCTAGAGCGTCCACAAGCAATTGTGGACACCGGACGGACGGATGGGGGCAACGACAATATACGACCACATTTCAATGTGGGCGTATAAAAACAATAAGCATCATACATTTTCATGCATCATAAATCACCGGGAACAGGTATGCCTCGTAATCCCGCCAAATCTATAACGACCAAAGGAATCACTCTGGGACTATATTCTTACGCTATAATTGTTTGCAAATATATTTTCTAAAGGTGCAACCATTATATTGTACATGTATTTGAGCTTGACTCTAGAAATTAAATATGCCCTGTTTAAGGCAATAAATTATTCATGGTCACCAAGGCATGCTGAATTACCACATCGCGTGTAATATATTTTACAAATTAGGGGATTATTTGATATGTATTCATTCGCCAAGTGAATGAGTTTTAAAGATTTCGGTAAAACAGAACAGGTCGTTTATGTCTTGATGTAGATTATTACTGGTTATAAAATATTAAACGCTGGCGAATTCCTAGTCGTAAAGCCTGGGATAAGATGGTGTTTTCCTCTGGAAACATAATGTTTCCAAACGAATATTAGTGGAAAATCGAAAGGAGATTGAGCAAAAAATTGTGGGGAAATTGAGCGAAAAATTACGTTACATCTTAGCAATTTCATAGTGTTTGGGACGAACTGTACATGGGATATGTTTAGCCTCGATTCATACAACTCGTGCTCAAAGAAATTTCCTTTTTGTTTTAAATATTTGATATCAGACGCCCAACTTTTCACGATAAGATAACAACATCAATGTTGATTTAAATTGACCAAATTTTGAAGTGGAAATTAGAATTAAAAAATAATTCCTTATTTTTATATCATTAACCCCTTAACTGTGTAATTAATTTGACGTTAACTACCCCCTATTGCGTAATTAATTTGACGAAAAACGTCATTTGTGGGCCTATTTTTTTCTGAATACAAATTTGAGTGGTCTTATACCATAATAAAACTAACAGTAAATAGAGTTGTCTCCCTTCAATTAGATTTCCTCGACCAGGCGTAATATAACGTCTTCCGCATGGTAAGATTGTATTTTCTAAAAGTACTAGAAACATCACATTTATAAGATTTCTCAAATATGAATAATCATGTGTTTCCGTAAAGTACCTCGTTCAGTATATGATTTACTACAAACATCACATTTAAAGGGTTTCTCGCCGGTGTGAGTTCTCAAATGTCTCCGAAGAGAACCATGCAACGGAAATGATTTACTACAAACATCACATTTATAAGGTTTTTCCCCTGTATGGATTTTCATGTGTCTATGAAGAGAACCACTCTCGGTGAATGATCGACTACAAACTCCACATTGAAAGGGCTTCTCACCCGTATGAATTCTCATGTGCTTCCGTAGAGTACTTCGTTCAGTATATGATTTACTACAAACATCACACTTAATAGGTTTTTCACCAGTAAAAGTATTCATTTTCGGAAGCTTTATTCTGTCTGTTAGTGATCCACAATTAGTTCTCACGTGTTGCCGTAGACTACAACTTTGTCTATATGATTTACTACAAATATCACACTTATAAGGTTTTTCACCAGTATGAATTCTAATGTGTGACTGTAGAGTGTAATTCTGTGCAAAGGATTTACTACAAACATCACATTTATAAGGTTTTTCACCTGTATGCGTTCTCATATGATATTGTAAACCTTGGCTAAAACTAAACGACTTATTACAAACATCACAATGATAAGATTTCTCGCCAGTATGGATTTTCATATGCCTGTATATATGACTACTCTGTGGAAATGATTTACCACAAACATCGCATTTATATGGCTTTTCACCAGTATGAATTCTCATGTGTGTTTGTAGGCCACTATTATGAATAAATAATTTACTACAAACATTACATTTAAAACGTTTTGTTGCAGTTTCACCGTCAGCTGATTGTAGGCCTACATCACTATCATTATCAGCTTTCAACTCTTCTTCCACATGTAATTCACAATGTTTCTCTAAATCAGTATCCGATTTAAATTCTTCATCACATAAATTACACTGATAAACTGTTTCAATATCTTCAGTTTTCTCTTCTTTAACATGACAATATTCATCTGCATCATCAGTTTTCTCTTTTTTAACATGACAATATTCATCAGTTTTCGCTTCTTTAACATGTATTTTATTATGTTTTTCTAAATCATCATATTGTTGGAAAATCTCATCACATACAACACACTGGTGGAATGTTTTAACATCTTTAGTTTCCTGTAACATATTAAAGTTATAACATCATTAGTTTCCCGTAATATATAAAAGTTATAACATCATTAGTTTCCTGTAACATATTAAAGTTATAACATCATTAGTTTCCTGTAATATATAAAGTTATAACATTATTAGTTTCCTGTAAAATATAAAAGTTATAACATCAGTAGTTTCCTGTAATATATAAAAGTTATAACATCATTAGTTTCCTGTAATATATAAAAGTTATAACATCATTAGTGTCCTGTAATATATAAAAGTTATAACATCATTAGTTCCTTGTAGTTTTCTATAATATTGCAGAATCTCAAGGAAATTGTCATGATATAAAAATCATTCCATGAGAAAAATGGGTCTTTCTTTAGGCCTGAAATATTATCTAAATTATTAATTAGACATTAATTAACTTATCCAGACCATAATCAACCCTCGATGTCATCGCTAGCCTGCGATATTTACTGGATTGGAATCCGATCTGTTGCTCAATGCTGATTGATGATTAAATCAAAAAATAGATAATTGATACTATGTTTTTTATCGTACCGACTTTAGTAATGATGATCAAGGCTAGGGCTAAAATTCAATCGCAACATTTTCGATCCAGCGTGGATCAATTTGACTGAAATTTTTAGCAAATTCCCTTTACATTATCTAGTTTTTAACTATTATAACTTATAGTGAGAACTGCCAGCTCATTATGTAATCTCCCATAATGTATCTTTAACATGAAACACATGGTTATTAAAAGGCTCCACCAAATGATAAAACATTAGTTGCACTTACATGTACCAGGGTTCTTTAATCATCGTTTTCCGTAAAAGTAATATATTTTTTAAAAAATGTTGGTTTTTTTTGGCTTAATCAAGGATTAGGATATGGTGTACTAAAGGACTATGACATTATAACATTTTTGTTAAAGTGCAAATCAGGGTTCCTAATCCAATTTGAAACGAACCGGTCAAAATTGGGTCAAATGAGGTCCCGGTAGGAAATAGGGTAATTGCAAGCTTCATTCCCTTTGATAAAAATGAACTTCAAGAAAAATAATTCTTAGTAATTTATTATTGAAAATCTCATATTACTATAATATACAAAGATAGGTTGCCAGGCAACAAAACATACGCCCACAGCAGCTATATCGTCAACAAGAGTGAACATCATAGATTTAGCTGTCCAAGTCATAAAGATTCAATGAAAATCAATATACTTGTTCGTCTCAAAACCTTAAACTCTGTGTATCAATCTGAAGTCAATCGGATGCTAACTTTAGCACGTAGAGCGTCACTAGCGGTGTGACGATTAGTCGGTTTAGGCGGAGTCGGTTCGGTTTTACCTACAAACCGGTTCAAGTTTTGGGAAATCGATAGTCGTCTAAAAAATACAGCATGATATAAACCAGTCGCCCGAATATTATAGCATGTTTTTTTTATAAAAAAGATACATGTATTAACGATCGACAATTATGGGGGCGAATAAGCAATAAGCTACATCATTGATAAATGGTCGATAATAATGAGACAGTATATTCCGTAATCGGTCGTAGATATTTGTTACGGTCCAGGCGATTCCAGTCTTTCGCACGTCGTTTCCGACTGAGAGTGTCAAAAAATGAGACCAGCTCCCTTGTAGAGTTCACGCCCGAAACACATTTATATAACAATGTCATACATTACCATGTATCACAATATAATGCCCGATATCCATCTTGTCCTTTTCACATAATTATATTTATAACATTCCCGTTAGGCCGATGAATTGACACAAATCAGTTAGCGAAACAAGCGACATCAAACAGCCGGCGGCCATGACACTTTGGCGCGGTCAAGGCTATAACGTCGTCATTGTTAGTAACGCTCGCATTGATTGGTCGACAACTGACGTCATCGGAATCCCCTTATAAATAGAAGCAGACGACAAGGAAATCCTCAGTGGACACTCGGTGCACATGGGAAAGCTCCTTACGTAATTGGCAGCAATCCAGCTATTTTAAATTGGATATGGATCACCAAAAATGGGTAAGGAATTAATATCCTAGCTTTGGCTGTAATTTATCCATAACTGGTCTCCTATTTAAAGACTCATAGGTTGGTTTAACCTTGACTGGCTTGATCCAAGATAGGCCTAGATAGTCGTGGTTCACCCATTCCCCCAAGTCTTACCAATTCCTTATGTCACCAAATCTCCGATTTAATCCCGTCATATCCACCGGCCTGACAGGGCAAATGTATTTATTTACCTAATTCCTGTTTCCATACCTGGGAATTTATCCAAAGGGTTGGCGTCTCACCCAAATTATCTCCCCTTAATGCGATGTATCCCAATTATAAATTGATCCAAATAAAGATGTTTATTTTTATCTACACCCGAGTTTGTTAGTTCTTTCGATTGAAGTGCTAGGCTGGAACGAACCCCTAAAAAGTCTCTAATAAATGTTGAGACGCTACATATTCCCGCTATAAAAAAAATAAAAATAATTAGCATACCTAACGATTCCCACGATGTTTGTTAAATAAAATGTAACGATCATCAGTTACATCTTCGGTATATCGGCCGAGGATTATTGTGAATATTGACCGTAATTTCATTTTATTATAGTTATTTAGTTAAACAGCACATGAGAGTTGATATATTTACTACCACATGTTTATCGTCAAGTAATAAAATACAACGAAAGAAATGCTTACCGTGTTTGTAAGTAAAAAATAAATCCATATAGTTTCCAGTTATTTTTAATTATTATCACAAGAAATAAATAAAACACTATGTCTATTGTAAAGGTTTGGGTTTTTTTTCACAAAAAGAATTATCTAGTGGAGAGATTTAAAGTCGTATATCGTAGACCGCATTTACGTTTCTAATACAACTAGACTTATCTAAGACTGAGCTTACTTGGTGTCATACACTTGTAATACACTGTATAGTCATTTGCATGCATGTTTGTTTCAATATAACAGGATTGTCAGTGATAGAACAGATCAAAGGATAAAATTGCATGCAGCCACTATTTCGACACGTGTTATCTTTAGATGTTCAGACTACCTGACTGACGCCTCAAATAACCCAACGTTAAAAGAAAGCATGCAGTGTCCACCTTACAACAGGTTCCATTGATTTACGATTTATTTTATAACTTATCACACTGTTTCGACCCCAATGTGTTACGATTCGCATTTTGGTATCTAAATGAATTCTTATTCGGATTTCTTATATTTGGAGATGTTTAGTTTCATTTCGTGCACGGAAATTAAATCAACGTTCAGTTTTAAAATTAATTATGGTTTCGAAATAATATCAATCTAATTTGTCTTATTTCAAAGGGGCTCCTGCGCAATTTAGTTGATTATTTGGTAATACGTAGAGTCCATGATGTATTTTTGGCGAGTGATTCAGCTGTCAATATGTAATTATAAAACACCTTTTTATAAAGAAGATAAATGATGTTAGACATCATAAACTAACAAACAATACGAGTATACTTTATTACAAAACCATCAGTGAACTAATCTAAAATCATAACGGAAATTGACTAACAATACGAATAAACAATACGAATATACAGCGGTGAACTAATCTCGGCTGTGATCGGTAATCAACAAAAATCGACGAGTAAAGCTTATTTATTCCATACATTATGTCCGCCCTATTACCTGCATAATATGTTAATAATAATATATAAAACGAAATGGAATGGATTTACATTCATATTATAATTATAACGTAAGGTAGGCAGGCATATGAATTCTATATGCCAGGGTGGGGGAATAAACATGCGAACCGTGGATAATGTAAAAGAGAAAATCGAAGTCTATTTTTATATGTTGTATTTATTACTTTTATTAAAAAGGTTAAACAGGAGATTTGAACAAACTACATAGTACAAACAAAACCAAATTTTTTAATGTACTGGCAGTAATTATCCGAAATCGTTGAAAATCAATATGATTCTTCATCTCATGGCTTCAAACACTGTGTATAAATTTAAAGTCAATCGGATATTAACTTTGGCCCTAGAGCGTCCACAAGATTTTTCAAAGTTATCAAGGGCCATAACTCTGGCAGTAATTATCGGAATTGCTGAAAATCAATAGGCTTCTTCATCTTATGACCTTAAACACTGTGTATAAATTTAAAGTCAATCGGATATTAATTTTAGCCTCTAGAGCGTCCACAAGCAACAACAATATACGACGACATTTCAATGGGGGCGTATAAAAATACCGACAAACAGTGCATCGTTTGGAAAAATTTACCATATCCAATTCGTGTACTGGCTTGAAGTTAACGTCAATAATATTCCTGAATAAATTACCGCAAATTAGTAATATGTTAGTTTGAGGGCAGTTTCAGACTCCGAAAACATTTTATTCAAACAATAAAAGAAATATCCGGTTGATTTTTCTATTTAAATTATCAATTTTCAACGTACTGGATAATCAAGATCAATGATAATCCACCACTCCGTTACTATGGTGACATGTATTGTCGCATGCTGATTGTGTTACAGGCCTTCTGACATACTGAGGGTGTCGCGGCAACCTTATTTGACAGGGGTCATTCATGTATCAATAAATCTATTAAAAGTGCATAGGAGGAGAGCCTCTATTTTATCTATTGGTCTAAAATTGACCTGGATTTATGTGACTGAGTTGTCCGTAGGCAGTTTGAAGCTCAGAAAACCTTTTATTCAAAGAATTCAGATGTAAAATATCAATGTAATTTTCAACAGATTGGGTAGTCCACGATAAACCACAACTCTGTTACTATGGTGATGTGTGTCCCGTGCAGTTACAGTATCATTCTGTGTCAGGGTATTGGATCCTAACCGATATACCATTATATGGGCCTATAGTATCGCCATCCCAGCAACCTTACAGTCACAGGGGGTGTTGTTCATGCATTAAAATCGTCATCAACGACTCACAATTGCTTCATTTTCTTTCAGAATTATATTCTCATCCATAGAAGCTTCTCAGCTTCATTGATTTGGATGCAGAAGAAGCCAAATTGGTGGGGTTTTTCCCCCCTTTCTCCTTTATATCCCGAGACTATTCACGCACTGATATTGAAGAGCTTTCTGAGCACATTTATTCAAAAACGGAGAAATGCATACTGGTATACATTGTTTCAGCGTTGTTAATTAGTATGGCGATGTGAGCGAGGGGGGTAGAGGTGAAAACGATATGTAATTGGCCAGATCTGTGGTTCAGGTAGGCTTTTTATGTACTGGATGAGGAAGGGGCACCCCTGCTAAAATGTCCAGACAAAGTGAAGATTTTGATGGTACGGCGACCAATTGAAAGGGCACCCCTGGCAATGGCTGTCATTACTTTCGAGGCCTGAAAAGACAACTATCAGCTTCACATAAAACAGCTGTTCCTAATATACATGTACATGTATCACACAAATTTTCAAGTCTTTTTATTATTCATCTGTGTCCGAAACAGAGTCCGAAACATTGCCAGACCGGGTCCCAAAAAATTGTCAAGTAAGTCTAAACTGTGGTCAAACTGAATCTGAAAGGTCGTTTGGGTCGAGTCCAAAAGGTCGCAGGACCGAAATGTTTAGCTACCTATTTTCACAGTATGATATAATAATTGGATATTGGATATCATGATCATATATTTTCACAGTATGACTATGATATAAGGATTGAAACTTAAGCATCAATACTGAATTTTAATTTGTGTTTTTAATTTCTAATATACAGCGTAGCTCAAATAAAGCATCGCAAAAAAAACGGGGTGCTTGAGCAAAGATATTTTCCGGTAACATAGGGGTGTAACTAAAAACCAGAATCGGATACATGCCAACTTTTTTAATCGTACAATTTAGATCTAAATAAAAACGAAATTATTTAATATTATTTGTATCACTTCACTTGAGAAACAACTTCAGCTTTGCTCTACTCAGGCAATGCCTGTTACATATAATTATTATGGATAATAATAAAGGGTGGATTATATGACAGAATTTGATACAATCAAATTATATCATATCTTACCATGTTAATTATTTAATTTTGTTATATTTGGTGGAATTCAGCTGATTATTCTTTGTCTGAGTCTATTTATACTTTAATTTCTAATATTATGGATAATAAGCAAGGGTGGATTTGAAACAATAAGGTTATATCATATCTTACCATATCGATTATTATTTACTTAGTTCTGTGGAATTTAGCTGCTGATTCTTTTCTATGATCGATAAACCTGGCTTTGCTTTGACCTTATTCTTCCAGTTAACCCATCAAAAATACCTTTCTTCTGATAGATTAGGGGTGATAACGTTCGCTTCCAGCCACGCTGATATAGTTGAAAATTTGCCTATGGTTTACTTGGAAACGTTGCTTTGAACGTAGACAAAGAGGAATTAACATAACGGCCATTAATCTAATGTCACTTCCGGTCTTAAGGTTGTATTTCGATTCTAGACGCGGATCAAAACAACACGAATAATTCAATGTCAGTCCATTCAGTTGGGCTAAAAATAGCTACAATATTGTATCATCCACATGGTCTGGGCGGCAAGTCGCCACACTCATTGATGGTTTGCGCAAATAAAACAAATACTTTTTTTTCAACACATTTCGTTATAATTTGTCTTGGAATAAATTCTTTTATCCCAAGTAATGAAGTATTAACCATTAAACATGCATTATACAAGAGGTAAATCTGTCTATTGCAGGTCTTTCTTTAAACCTGAAATGTTATATAAACTATTAATTAGACATTAATTAACTTATCCAGATCATAATCAACTCTTGATGTCATCGCTAGCCTGCGACATTTACTGGATTAGGATTCGATTTGCTGCTCAACTTTCATTCATGATTTAATCATGAAATGGATAATCGAGACTATGTTTTTTATCGTACAGACTTTAGTAATAATGATTGAGACTAGGCCGAAAATTCAATTGCCAAATTCTTGGTTCAGAGTGGGTCAATTTGAATGAAATTTTCAGCAAACTCCCTCTATATTATCTTGTTTTTAACTATTATAGTGAGAACTGACAGCTCTTTATCTAATCTCAAATAATGTATCTTTAATATTAGTGATTTAACTCCTTTAAAGGAGCTAAATCGCTAATATTTGGGACCTAGAAATTGACACAAATGGGTCGCAACACATATAATAATGTAATATGAATGTATATAAACTGATTTACATTCAATCGTTTCTGTTTTTACTATAATTTTTAAACATTTATGTTCGGCGGAATATGTGACGAGTCGAAACTGAACGGCAGTCTTTGGTGTCTGGTTATTCCGGTCTGCACAGGTAGTATTCTCTTCTCCTGTGGAGTATGTTTAGCCCAGGCCAAATTTCCCTCATAGCACATGCCCATCTTCATTAGCCCAGTGGGAGCAGAACAGTAGGAAGTTAAACCCCAATTCATTTCATTTCATAACTTTTGCTTTTGAGTTAATTAAATCTTTAAGGACTTAAATGGGAATCGTAGAACATTACAGTACAGTGGTGTGATTAAGGTCCACTTGAAACAAACAAGGTCATTTCTGGACTAATATATGGTTCAATTTTATTTCAATAATTCACTTACACTTGGGATTCATCTTTAGCTGTGGGAGGAAACTGGAGAAAACCCATGGTTGGACAGACGACTCAATGACAGACCTAATGTGCAAGTGTTAAATCATTCTGCTAATACCAGAATCATTGACTATTAATCAAATACTCGAATAACCAAAATAGTAAAATCCACATTTGACAATTGATGTGTATAAGCTTTTATTATATAGGCTCTTATAGTAACACTTTTATACATACAATCCATGGAACTATACATATAAGGTACTGATAGAACTAATGAATATTAATGATGTGTATCAGATTATACATATAAGGTAGTGATGGAACTAATGAATATTAATGATGTTTATCAGATTATACATATAAGGCAGTGATGATGGAACTCATGAATATTAATGATGTGTATAAGATTATACATATAAGGTAGTGATGGAACTAATGAATATTAATGATGTGTATAAGATTATACATATAAGGTACTGATAGAACTAATGAATATTCATGATGTGTATAAGATTATACCTATAAGGTAGTGATAGAACTAATGAATAATAATGATATGTATCAGATTATAAATATACTGTAAGTTCAGGAGGACCGCACTACACACAAAACAAAATCTACAAGATAAACCTGCAGACAAGACAGAATATAGACATTGCACAAAATAAACAAATATCAAATCCAGTGAATGGATACGGGGACCAGTCGTAACCGTCCACTGCGCTGTACAGTCTCGGGCCTGTAATGGTACAGTCCAGGATTTTTAATCCATTTTGAAACGAACCGGCCAGAATTGGGACAAATGTGGTTCTGATAGGAACTGGGTTTTAAAATTTTAAGCTTCCATTCCCTTTATCATAACCAGACCTGAACAAAAATAATTCTTGGTAATTTGTTATGAGAAAATTTGTATTCTACTACATGTAATTACTACAAACAATAACGACAAACAGGTACACCGTTTGGAAATATTTTTATATTTAGCCAAAGTAGATTGATTTATGATACCATAGTGTCCGGTTCCATGTTTTACCAATCGCCTTGATTGAACTTCAAGCGGCTAAAGCCAACAAAAAAACAGCCCATTCAGATCCCTGGTACAGTCTTCAATCAAAATGAAAAAAAAAAGGATCTTATAGTCCACATTACACATGAACTAACCGGACATGATAGGAAGTGAGAAAATAATTTACTACAAATATCACATTTATAATGATTCTCTGAAATGAGTTCTCATGTGTTTCGGTAAACTACCACTTTGGGTAAATGATTTATCACAAACATCACATTTATAAGGTTTCTCGCCGGTATGAGTTCTGGTATGTCTTTGTAGATCAGCAATTCTAGAAAATGATTTACTACAAACATCACATTTATAAGGTTTCTTGCCGGTATGAATTGCGCTGTGTTGCTGTAAGTAATGCTTGTAATTAAATGATTTATCACAAACATCGCATTTATAAGATTTTTCTCCCACATGAATTCTCATGTGTTTCTGCAGGGTACAATTAATAGTAAATGATTTACTACAAACACCACACTGGTAAGGTTTTTCACCAGTATGAATTCTGATGTGATTTTGTAGGGTACGTTTTTCGGCAAATGATTTACCACAAACATCACATTTGTGAGATTTTTGTCCGGTATGGGTCATTGTGTGTCGGTCCAGATAAGCAAGTTTAGAAAACGATTTACCACAAACATCACATTTATAAGGTTTTTTCCCAGTATGTGTTTTAAGGTGTTGCTTTAAAGATTGGCTATAACCAAACAACTTTTCACAAATATCACATTTATAAGGTTTTTCTGTAGTATGTGTTCTCTTGTGTGCCTGCAGATTCCCATTCTGTCTAAATGATTTACTACAAACATCACATCTATAAGGTTTTTCACCGGTATGAATTCTCATGTGTTTTTGTAGATCACTACGGTTAGTAAATGATTTACTACAAACATTACATGTAAAAGGTTTTGCTCCTGTATGAATTCTCATGTGTCTCTGCAGATTACCATTCTGGGTGAACAATTTATTACACACATCACATTTATAATGGTTTTCACCTGCATGACTGTCAGCTGATTGTAGGCCTACATCACTACCCTGACTGTCAGCAGATTGTAGGCCTACATCACTACCTTGACTGTCAGCTGATAGTAGGCCTACATCAATACCCTGACCATTAGCTGAACGTAGGCCTACATCAATACCCTGACAGTCAGCTGATTGTAGGCGTACATTTCCATCACAGGCTTTCACCTCTTCTTCAACATGTATTTTACAATGTTTCTCTAAATCAGTATCCGATTTAAATTCTTCATCACACAAATTACACTGATGAATGGTTTCAATATCTTCAGTTTTCTCTTCTTTAACATGACAATATTCATCTATATCATCAGTTTTCTCTTCTTTAACATGACAATATTCATCTACTTCATCGCTTTTCTCATCTTTAATACGAACATGACAATATTCATCTACATCATCAGTTGTCTCTTCTTTAACATGTATTTTATTGTGATGTTCTAAATCAACATGTCGTTGAAAAATCTCATTACATACAACACACTGATGAAATGTTTTAACATCATTGGTTTCCTGTAATATATAAAAGTTATAACATCATTAGTCTCCTGTATTATATAAAAGTTATAACATCATTAGTTTCCTGTAATCAAAAGTAATAACATCATTAGTCTCCTGTAACATGTAAAGTTACAACATCATTAGTTTCCTGTAATATATAATGGTTATAACATCATTAGTTTTCTGTAATATATAAAAGTTATAACATCATTAGTCTCCTGTAATATATAAAAGTTATAACATCATTAGTTTCCTGTAATCAAAAGTAATAACATCATTAGTCTCCTGTAACATGTAAAGTTACAACATCATTAGTTTCCTGTAAGATATAATGGTTATAACATCATTAGTTTTCTGTAATATATAAAAGTTTTAATATCATTAGTCTCCTGTAATATATAAAAGTTATAACATAATTAGTTTCCTGTAATATATAAAAGTTATAACATCATTAGTTTCCTGCAATATATAAAAGTTATAACATCATTAGTATCCTGTAATATATAAAAGTTATTAAATCATTAGTTATGGTTTTCTGTAATGTAAAAAGGTTATAACACCATTAGCAGGGCTTCATTTTTATATGAACCATAATAATAATTCACTCTATCACTGCCTGCCAAGAAAACTGAACTCAATGATCTGCCAATTAATTCTGATGTTTCAGCCTATAAAAAGGTAGGTTGCCAGGCAACAAAACATACGCCCACAGCAGCTAAATTGTCCGAGCAGTCGGCAAGGGTTGTCAAATATTTATTCTTTTGTAGGTAATTAGGTGAATTTAATAGAAAGTCTCATACAGATGACATTATAATTTTCGTCTTTTTAGGGTTCAAAAGGTTCTAAAAACTAAAACAAGGGCCGTAACTCTGGAAGTAATCTACATAAATTGTTGAAATTCGACAGGCTTTTTTGTTTTACTAATTCAAATAATGCATATAAATTTCATACAGATTGGATGATAACTTTTGTCGTTCGAACGTTCACAAAGTTCAGCAAACTCTAGACGTAATTGACGGAAATTGCTGACATTCAATAGGCTTCTTCATTTCACTAATTTAAATGATGCATATGAATTTCATACAGATTAGGTGATAAATTTTGTCGTTCAAGCGTTCACAAGATTCAACAAAGTTAAACAAAGGCCATAACTCTAGATAACGGAAATTTGCTGAAACTCAATAGGCTTGTTTGTTTTACTAATTTAAATGATACATATAAATTTCATACAGATGGGATAATAACTTTTGTCGTTAGAGCATTTACATGGTACAACAAAGTGAAACAAGGACCATAACTCACGGCAGAATTAACGGAAATTGCTGAAAATCAATATGCTTCTTCGTTTCACTAATTTAAATGATTGATATCAATTTCAAACAGATCGGATGATAACTGTTGTCATTAGAGCGTTCACAAGATTCAACAAAGTGAAACAAGGGTCATAACTCCAGAAGAAATTAACTAAAGTTATTGAAATTAAATAGGCTTCTTTGTCTCACTAATGCAAACAACATATATCAATTTCAAAACAATCAGATAATAAATGTAGTCTGTAGAGTGTTCACAAGAAATTGTGGACGATGGACGGACAGAGGGACGGCAATATATGACCACATTTCCATGTGGGCGTATAAAAATCATTTGTTATTAACTATTTTAATCAAGATATTTTGAAAAAATCAATAAAATAATGCGGTTTCCTTTGTCATAGTGCAATAAAGTGTAGCCTATCATTAAATAACAAGGCTGTTATGTAAGATACACCCACAGTTTGCAAGAGATGGACAGACAAGCTTAAAAAAAGTGATTTTCTTACAATCAGGGGCCATAATACAGTATGTTACAGTCCAACATGCGACAAAATTAAAAGGAACCAAGATCTTTGGGATATAAACATATATTTTATGTTTCATCAAAATCAGACAAAAATTCTGACCTCTACAATCTTTGGGATATAAACATATATTTTATGTTTCATCAAAATCAGACAAAAATTCTGACCTCTACAACCTTAAAACACGATTTTTCGTACAATCAGGGCCATAGGCATAATCCTGGAAGTTGAAATCCTTATACGGCATTTAGTAACTGAACATACATGTATGATATAAATCACAAATTAATTATATTATATGGAAGGGTCTATGACGCGTCTAATCAATTCAATGATGTCACATATTTTTGACATCAATGAAAAGAATTTTCACTTTTTTTTCTTTTTTTTTTTTTTAAAACAAAATTAATTATACAATTTTGACAGAAATTAAAATCAATTCGGAAAAACGAAATTATTTAACATTATTTGTAGGCCTATCAGTATCACTTGAAAGTATTATATTTGACAATAATCACATTGGCTTCGCTCTACTCAGGCAACGCCTGTTACATATTAATTGTTTATTGATTGGTGTTGTAAGCGTGGATTTGACACAATAAATCTTATCTTACCATGTTTAGTTTTCACTTCTGTGTCAGTGAGAAATTAAAACGACCACCATTCGTCTAATATCACTTCCGGTGCACCCCATTTTCAGGTTGTATCTTGATTCTTGTGGAGGATCAACTGACCCGAATAATTCACAGTTCAAATACAGACTGTCATGTCTGTTGAATTGTTTCAATGGCATTTATTCTCAGCCAAATTAAAAACTTGACACTCGGGATTTTTGGGACTAGATTTTTAATATTTGGTTTAAGGCAACTATTTTAGTGTTATGTTGTGCACAGACGACCTTGACATCAACAGAAAGCAAGAATACGTCTCGCCGAAAGTCCTTGACATTGATAACGTTAGTGATGTCACAGTACCCCCCAAATGAAATTCACAGACTTGGAGAACAATCGGAATAAAGTGTTTAGTAACGGTTGTGGCCTCCTCTAGCGTCTCGTACTGCCACACAACGTCTTCTCATGGATCTCAGAACATTAGTAAACACTACCCAAGGAAGACCTCGCCACTGCTCAGCAAGAGCATGTTGAAGGCTCTGCAACGTCAGTGGTGGATTCACTTGCTGACGAACACGTCGATCCAGTTCGTCCCAGATGTGTTCAATAGGATTAAGGTCGGGGCTAAGCGACGGCCAATACAGGACTTGGACACCGGCATTTCTTAAAAAATTTTGGATAGCAATTGCTGTATGGGGTCGAGCATTGTCTTGTTGAAACGTTAGTCCAGGCCCATGTCTCTGCATAAACGGAAGAAGAACAGGTTGCAAAATCTGATCCCTGTACTGGACAGCATTTAAGTTCCCTTGGACAACAACAAGAGGAGAACGTCCATGTGCACAAAAAGAACCCCAAACCATGACGCTGCCGCCACCAAATCGGTCAACTTCTCTGACGCATACTTGAGCGTAACGTTCACCTCGTCTGCAGTACACTCGGACCCTGCCATCGGCAAATCTCAAAGTGAATCAAGATTCGTCACTAAAGACAACCGAATTCCACTGTCTTTGAGTAAATCTTATGTGTCTTGTGGCCCACACAAGTTGGTTACGGCGATGAAGAGGTGTCAATATAATGGTCCATTATAGGCCTCCGAGCTCGAAGACCAGAAGCCTGCAAGCGATTTCGAAAAGTTTGTGCAGTTACCCTTCCACCAAACATCTCTCTACTTGTGGAGGTTGCAGTGACAAATCTGTTTCTAAGATGACGTAATCGTATTGCTTGATCTTCCTGGAGTGACGTCACACGTGGCGCTCCCGCCCTTGGGCGGTCGGCAATAGTTCCAGTTTGAAGTACTCTCATTCTAAGATTAATTATTGTCTGGCGTGAACAATTAAAGGCTCTTGCAACAGTGACCACAGACTGACCAGCATAGAGCCTACCTATAGCACGTAGACGTTCTACATTTGAAAGGTGCGGCATTTTCTAACAAAGATGAAAATAACAATTTTAATTTGTTTTTCCAGTTCAAGTTACGTGTGCGTGTTCAGTTTAAGCAATTTTGCATCGATTGACCTCACGAGTTTGTGTTTGCACGTGTTTTTCAGGTTTTTCATCTTTAAATGCCCAAAACGTGACTTTACAATTTTATGAAATTTAAGGCTTCTTACTACTTACTATCGTTAGAAACACTTTAAAATTTATTTGACTTACCAGAAAAAAAAAATTGTTGAAATTCATCAGTGTCAAGTTTTTAATTTGGCTGAGTATAGTATACAGGTCACAATTCTATGGAATACAATTACTGCTTATTACTGAGCGACGTTTCGACTGGGCTTCTCTAGTCATTATCAAGCAATGATAAAATATGAAAATATAACAAGACAATATATACATGTACACAACAATCCTTAGTTAATGCTGACCAACCAGAGATACCCCTTAATTACGTGTACCTAAAGGGAATCTAATTTAATAATTACGTGTACCTATCATTGCTTGATAATGACTAGAAAAGCCTAGTCGAAACGTCACTCAGTAATAAGCAGTAATTGTATTCCATATGTGACCTGTATATGCCATGTCTGTGTTGTAAACTCGAGAAAAGTTATCTGTGATTATAAACAAAATGTTTTGCTCCGAACTGGGCTAATGAAGACGGGCATACGCCATACAGTGTGCTATGAGGGAAATTTGGCACGGACACCGGCACTACTGCCTACTCTTATATCAAATTCCAACTGTCAAGGGATCTTTTACGTGCATGCCAATGTGCACACGGGACCTTGGTTTTCCGTCCATCTGAACAACTAGACAGCTGTCCTTGTCAGCCCCTCCTGTCCTGCACCACTGACAAGGGGAAAACCACATCGGAAAATCTGAATGAACTTTCTCGGCCAATGCAGGGATCGAACACCCGACCTCCAGGCTAGCGCGCCAGCGTCTTACCCACCATGATCCCCCCTATGGCTAAACATGTACTGTTGTTAACCTGAGACAAGTTACCTGTGGGTGTATTTACTGTCTGTTCCAGATGACAAGTTCCATGTGGGTGTAGTTACTCTCTGTTCCAGGTAACAAGTTCCATGTGGGTGTATTTACTCTCGGGGGGAGGGGAGGGTGTTGGATGGCCGAATGGTTAGCATGTGCGCGCTGTATCATAAGGTTTGTCATTGGAGTCAACTGGCGTGGTTTCGATTCCCTGGTTGTTGTACGTGGGTTTTCTCCAGGTCCTCTGGTTTCCTCCCACTGCTAAAGACCCCTACGCACAAGTGAATTATTTAAATAAAATTAAACCAATATGTTAGTCCCAAAATGATCTAGTTTGTGTCGGGTGGACGGACGTTAAACCCCATTTTTTTCTTTCTGTCTGTATTTACTCTCTGTTCCAGGTGATAAGTTACCTGTGGGTGTATTTACTATCTACTCCAGGAGATACTGCTTGCCATTTCTTCCTGTAAAAATTTACTCTGTTCCAGGTGAAACTTGAACTAGAAATTTGCTTGCCATTTCTTCAAGTTTTAATAAAAATGACTAAAAATTAGTGACATACCTGGAATTATCATCCTCTTGCTTTCCTCATCAGGTCTTAAAGGGCCATTATGGGAGATTAGATAAAGAGTTGGCAGGTCTCACTATAATAGTTAAAAACTAGATAATGTAAAGGCAATTTGCTGAAAATTTCAGTCAAATTGATCCACTCTGAACCAAGATTTTAGCGATTTAATTTTCGGCCTAGCTTCGATCATCATTACATAAGTTGGTATGATAAAAAACATAGTCCTGATTATCCATTTCATGATAAAATCATGAATGAAAGTTGAGTAACAAATGGGATCCTAATCCACTAAATACCGCAGACTAGTGTTGACATCGAGAGTTGATTATGGTCTAGATAAGTTAATTAATGTCTTATTAATAATTTAGATAACATTTCAGGCCTAAATAAAGACCTGTAATAGGCAGATTTAGCTCTTCCATAATGCATGTTTAATCATAGAAGTTTGATAAATTCCATGATTGTTTTGTAATTTTCCCATATCTGAACATAGTTACACCCAATCTGTTTCACAGAAAATTACGAAAGTCTTCTAATATCTCTGTAAAAGATGACAACCTTCAGCACGTGACGTCTCATCACGCGGCGTCAATCATTGGTTCAATGGCGCGTGCATTGTTTACATAAGACCTTACTGGTTCGGGCGGAATGGGGCCTTTTACTCATTTTAATACCCATTTACACTAAATAGGAAATAATTTTTACCTACAAATACGTCAAACGTTTTAATTTATTTTTCTAATGCATAAAAAAAATGTTTTAGAATTTAATTTGTCGGAGGAAAAAAGTTAATATTTGTGGCTCATTAGGTCGCATCGATGTCATTCTTATCAGTGATTGTCGTAGCCTAGCGAATATTCACTGCGGATCAGTGCGAGTTACACCTTCTAAAACATCAATAAAAATGGTAGTATATATTTAGATGTAAATTGATTGACTAACAGACTAAACAGAATGAAAATAACATTTTGAGTTTTACCGTTTTCCGAGATTCTATCCTGATTATCGCCCTTACTGTTAAAATTGTTTGACGTTCTAACTCTTGGCGTCAATTAGCAGTGGACACTTACAACTGACCCCCAGATAAAATAAGGTGAACAATTTTAAGAATGGTTTGTGAACTGAGGGCCAGGCTAATCTACACCTCTGGCCCCAGTTCAACAAAACATTCAGGAAACTAGCTATAAAAACACAGAGATATATTGTGATGTATTGTTTTTGTTTTACCTACGTTTGGATTCCTTTCGTTTTACCTTGTAAACTTAATTTCTTAAAAAATAAGTAAATATTTGTAAATATTGTCAGTAAACCTTATTATGCGTTGTTTTTATCAAAATTGATATGCACATTCATAATTACTTTTATGTCCCATGTCTTCATTGGCTGTTGTACACAACATATATTTAGCCCCAAATTCATAACGTAAACCTATTCGACTTAGGATTTAGCGGGCATAGCAAGCTTGGATACTTTACCAATATTTAGTATGTATAATGTCCACTTCAAGCCAGCTCATATCGTAGACAATCGTCTCTTGTATCACTATTCTACTGTTAATCTTAACTTAAATTACATATTAAATTTGGATAAACTGAATATTAATTACTAAATGAATAAGATTTTATTAATAAACTTTCTTTCAGGTATGAGTTTTCATGCGTTTCTGTAGGCCTCCACCCTGTGAAAATGATTTACTACAAACATCACATTTATATAGTTTTTCCTCCAGAATGAGTTCTGATATGTATCCGTAGACTACTTTTCTGATTAAATGATTTACTACAAACATCACATTTATATAGTTTCTCTTCAGAATGACTTCTCATGTGTCTATGCAGGCATGTGGGCGTATAAAAAGGCTGCGGGGGAAAAGGTCAAGGTTCATTTCGCACACATTTTATTTCAAATTTATGAAAAGTGATCAGGGAACCGTGCCTTAAGTATATCCGAGACTTAGCCTTGCTCTCCCATTTTTAATCTAAATTTTTTAATAAATGACTAATTAATAGTTTAAATAACATTTCAGGCCCAAAGAAAGACCTGCAATAGGCAGATTTAGCTATTTCATAATGTATGTTTAAGTCTCGGCTTTCATATTTTGCTGTAAATTATAAAATGACCTATCACATTGATTCTGTTTCTCCCCTGTTATGTAGATTACTATTCAATATGAAAGATTTACTATAAATACACTGATCTCATGTGTTTCTGTAGATTACTATTCGATATGACCGATTTACTATAAATACACTGATCCCATGTGTTTCTGTAGATTACTATTCAATATGACAGATTTACTATAAATACACTGATCTCATGTGTTTCTGTAGATAACTATTCGATATGACAGATTTACTATAAATACACTGATCCCATGTGTCTGTAGATTACTATTCGATATGACAGATTTACTATAGATACACTGATCTCATGTGTTTCTGTAGATTACTATTCAATATGACAGATTTACTATAAATACACTGATCCCATGTGTTTCTGTAGATTACTATTCGATATGAAAGATTTACTATAAATACACTGTTCCCATGTGTTTCTGTAGATTACTATTCAATATGACAGATTTACTATAAATACACTGTTCTCATGTGTTTCTGTAGATTACTATTCGATATGACAGATTTACTATAGATACACTGATCCCATGTGTTTCTGTAGATTACTATTCTGAGTAAAAATTCACAACAAATAATAAATTTATAAGGCTTTTCTCCTGTAAGAGTGCTTGTGTTGAATGATTCATTACAAAATGAAATCAAATTAAATTGGGTTTAACGTCCTACTGTTCTGCTCCTACCGGGCTAATGAAGGCAGGCATACACCATACATATTATATCTTACCATGTTGATTATTTATTTTTGTGTATTATGGTGTTATAACTTCTCAATATGTTGACATTATTCTTCAAGTTGTTTTACAATAGTTACTGAATACACTCAGTCGATTCCAAGTCTCAATAAATGTACCGGTAGTTGAATCAAAGTTAAATACATGTGAAGTATTGCGGTAGATTCCTCGACTCGTAAGACTTTACAGTTCACCTTCCAAGTCAACGACTTGACTGACAACCGTGTGATAATCGTCTAAACTCATTTCCGGTATAATTGATTTTTAGGTTGTATATCGATTAAAAACGTGGATCATCCGAACACGAATAACTCATTGTTGAAATACACGCCAACTTTAAATGCGCGTGTACATTTAGTTGGCGCTAACAGTGAAAATCGTCTGTGGATATAACAGTTATCATACAGTAATTATCAGAATAATAATAAAATAATGTTGTACAGTTGATCCAGGTTCCCTGTGGCCATGCTAAACTGTGCTAGAAGTTCCAACCTCTAAATGGAAATGAAATGAAATGGGGTTTAACGTCCTACTATTCTGCTCCGAACTGGGCTAATAAAAATGGGCATGAGGGAAATTTAGCCCAAACAGTGGCACTACAGCCTACTCTTACTTGTATATCTAATTCCAACTGTCAAGGGTTCTTTTACGTGCACGCCAATGTATACACGGGACCTTGGTTTTACGCCGCATCCGAACAAGGGTGAACAACCCCAGAAAATCTAGTTGAACTTTCTTGGCCAATGCAGGGCTTGAACACCCGAACTCCAGGCTAGCGAGCCAGCATCTTACCCAATTTCACTTAGCCAATTTCACTTAGCCACTGTGATCCCCCCTCTACCTGTAGCCAAATGGATGGGACAATATGGATAGAACAGTCATATTAAAATATAGATAGAACAACAGTCTGATAGAAATATAGATGGAACAACAGTCAGATTAAAGTATAGATAGAACAACAGTCAGATAGAAATATAGATGGAACAGTCAGATTAAAGTATAGATGGAACAACAGTCAGATAGAAATATAGATGGAACAACAGTCAGATTAAAGTATAGATAGAACAACAGTCTGATAGAAATATAGATGGAACAACAGTCAGATTAAAGTATAGATAGAACAACAGTCAGATAGAAATATAGATGGAACAGTCAGATTAAAGTATAGATGGAACAACAGTCAGATTAAAATATTCAACAGAATCGGATTTAACATAAAGTGTGTTTGTGATTTTGGTTTAGCATCTGGTGTCATGACACGAATGAATTTTATCCATAGAGTGGTTTTTACATGCACCAACAGGCACTCATATACCATATGTTGGTTTTACGTCCAATCAGAAGAACTAGACGCATTTCTCTAGTCAACACAGTACATTCATATTGTGAGACAAGTGTCCCAACCTGGGACATTCAGATTGTAAGTTCAGTGTCCTACTCCTATCATAGGACAATCAGATTGTGAGCCAGGGTCCTTACCCTGGCCGGGGAATTCAGATTTTGAGACCAGGATATTCAGAATGTAAGATCAGTGTCCTAGATCGGAACATTCAGACTATGAGACCTGTTTTCTAACCCGAGACATTCAGATTGTGAGACAAGTGTCCTAGGCCGGAGCATTCAGACTATGAGACCAGTTATCTAACCCGGGAGGCCGGGACATTCAGATTGTAAGACTAATATCCTAACCCAGGATATACAGATTTTGAGACCAATTTGTTACACTGGAATATTCAGACTATGAGACCAATTTGCTACACTGGGCCACTGAGATTGTGAGACCAGTGTACAAAACCCGGACATTCAGGTTGTGAGGCATATGTCCTAATCTGGGACATAGAGATCGTGTGACCAGTGTCCTGGACTGAAACATTAACATTGGGAGATCAGTGTCCTAACCCGGGACATACAGATTGTGAGACCAGGACATTCAGGTTGCAAGACCAGTGTCCTAACCCAGGACAGGACCATTGTCCTAGACCAGGACATCCAGACTGTGAGACCAGTGTCCTAATCGTGGACAGACATTCAGGTTGGGAGACCAGGGGTCTGTTTCACGAAATTTTAACTAAAGATAAAATCCAAATTTTAGTAGAAACTTTAATTTTGATTGGCTAAGCACTAAAATCAATCTAATATTATCCAATCAAACTATTAAAATATGGATTTTATCTCAGTTAAATTTGGTGAAACAGGCCCCCCTGTGTCCTAACCCGGGACATACATGTACTGATTGCAAGACCATTATCCACACAACCACTGTGACTACTGAATGGACTTATAGACACAGGTGGTTAAAAGCTACTTATAGACACAGGTGGTTAAAAGCTACATTGTTCTTCTTGGTCCTTTTTCTCACAGCAATGTTTCTGACACATCATCAATGAAAGCCAGTTGTCAACTGAATTGCAGTTTCATGCACAATAGCCAGTTATCAAACCCCCAAGTCATGCACAATAGCCAGTTATCAAACCCCCAAGCCATGCACAATAGCCAGTTGTCAAACCCCCAAGTCATGCACAATAGCCAGTTGTCAAACCCACAAGTCATGCACAATACCCAGTTGTCAAACCCCCAAGTCATGCACAATAGCCAGTTGACAAACCCCCAAGTCATGCACAATAGCCAGTTGTCAAACAGATTAGAACTTCAGACAAGATTTTCTTCTACAGCTTTATTTCATGTGATTACAGGTTCATATATATTTATTTCAAATTTAAAGGACAATATTGGTGCCAGTCATTATCACATATGTGTTAGAGCTGGTTAAACACATTCCAAATATATTTTTAACACAGAGATCATTGCTACGATAGCTGAGTAATACAGGTTTCCCGTATCGGAAGTGACGAACACCAAAGGAAAACATGAGTCGCCGCTCTATATAACTGACTGAAGCGACGAGTGATAACAGATACATGGCCGAATTTCTGCTCACTAATAATTTCTTCGAAGACCAAAAGTTGTTATATGGGACTGTAAGAGGATATCTGACAATTCAATAAAATAATTGAATGTCATTAGATAAGAGAACACGAGAAAAATAGAAATATTCCGTACATTCCCTTGTTTATATTCATTCTATACCTTATAAAAACACGGTAATGCACGGACTTTTTCTGTTTTTCTTTCGTGTTCTCTTATCTAGTGGCAGTCAATTCTTTTTATGAATTGTCAGATATTATCTAACAGTCTCACACAACAACTGTTGGTCCTCAAAGGAATTATTAGTGAGCAGAAATTCGGCCGTATATCTGTTATCACTCGTCGCTTCAGTCAGTTATATTGAGCGGTGACTCGTGTTTTCCTTTGGCGTTCGTCACTTCTGATACGGGAAACCTGTATTACTCAGCTACTGTAGCAATGATCTCTGTGTTAAAAGTATATTTGGAATGTGTTTAACCAGCTCTAACACATATGTGATAATGACTGGCACCAATATTGTCCTTTAAGGCCTAATACATAAAACATGATATCATGAACTAGTTGATTTAATTATGATTATTTCTGAATGAATAATTTTTTTTAAAAAAAGGTTCACCTTCTCCCATCATTATAAAAAAATCAATGACTAATGGTTAATATATATATCTATATTTCATGTGATTACAGATTAATATATATCTATATTTCATGTGATTACAGGTTCATGTATATCTATATTTCATGTGATTACAGGTATATATATATCTTCATTTCATGTGATTACAGGTTCATATATATCTATATTTCATGTGGTTACAAGACTAATTTCTCATGCATCATATCCTGTGGTCAACGGATTGCTGTCATGTATCCAGCCTGCAGCGAAACAGATTATTGATTCATGCATCACAGCCTGTAGGCTAGACAAGGAATATATCAAGTACTATGGCAGGCACTAGAGGTTTTGTACCTGACAAAGCCTGAATCTGTGCCTGACATTGTCAGTGACAGGTGCCTTATTTCCAGGCTTGAACTATGGACTATTCATTGTTAAGCATCATCTCTCCCTCCTCTCTCTCTCTCTTTCTCTTCAATTGATAAGGTGTCGCTCCAGTATGAGTTCCCCTGTGATTATGTAGGTTTCCATGCTGAGCAAATGATTTACTACAAACATCACATTTATAAGGTTTCTCACCGGTATGAACTCTTGTATGAATCTGTAGACGGCTTTTAGTCCTAAATGATTTACTACAAACATTGCATCTATATGGTTTCTCGCCAGAATGAATTCTCACGTGAGACTGTAGACAACTACTTTGAGCAAACGTTTTACTACAAACATCGCATTTATAAGGTTTTTCACCAGTATGAATTCTCATATGTGACTGTAGGTCTCCACCCTGGGTGAATGATTTACCACAAACATCACATTTATAAGGTTTATCGCCTGTATGAATTCTTGTATGAATCTGTAGAGCGCTTTTAGTCATAAATGATTTACTACAAACATCACATTTATAATGTCTCTCGCCAGTGTGAATTTTAATGTGTTTCTGTAGAGTATAACTTTCAGTGAATGATTTACTACAAACATCACATTTATAAGGTTTTTCACCTGTGTGAGTTCTGATGTGTGCCTGTATACTACTATAATGTGCAAATGATTTATTACAAACATCACATTTATATGGCTTGTCGCCAGTATGAATTCTCATGTGTGACTGTAGACCACCACAATGAGCAAATGATTTACTACAAACATCGCATTTATAAGGTTTTTCACCAGTATGAATTCTCATGTGTTTCTGTAGGTCTCCAACCCGAGGGAATGATTTACTACAAACATCACATGTATATGCATCTCCAGAATGAATTTTAATGTGTGAACGTAGGTATCCAACCCGTGTGAACGATTTCCTACAGACATCACATTCAAAAGGTTTTTCACCAGTATGAATTCTCACGTGGTTCTGTAGACTACTATAATGTGCAAATGCTTTACTACAAACATCACATTTATATGGCTTCTCGCCAGTATGAGTTATCATGTGTCTTTGTAGAGAACTACGTTCAGCGAATGATTTATCACAAACATCACATTTATAAGGCTTCTCACCAGTATGAATTCTCATGTGTTTCTGTAGAGTTCCACTTCCAGAAAATGATTTACTACAAACATCACACTTATAAGGTTTTTCACTAGTATGTGTTCTTCTGTGTGACTTCAGGCTACTACTATGACCAAATGATTTACTACAAACATCACATTTATAAGGTTTTACTCTAGTATGTGTTCTGATGTGTGACTTCAGGGTACTACTATGAGCAAATGATTTACTACAAACATCACATTTATAAGGTTTTTCCCTAGTATGAAATTTCATGTGTGAGTGTAGTTCTGCACGCTCTATAAATGATTTATCACAAACATCACATTTATATGGCTTCTCTCCTGTATGAATTTTCATGTGTCTCTGCAAAGTTCCATGATGTGGGTATGACTTATTACATAAACCACATTTATAAGGTTTTTCTCCAGTTATAACATCATTAGTTGCCTGTAATATATAAAAGTTATAACATCATTAGTTTCCTGTAATATATAAAAGATATAACATCATTGGTTTCCTGTAATATATAATAGTTATAATATCATTAGTTTCCTGTAATCTATAAAGGTTATAACATCATTAGTATCCTGTAATATATAAAAGTTATTACAACATTAGTATCCTGTAATATATAAAAGTTATAACATAATTACTTTACTGTAAAATATAAAAGTATAACATCATTAGTTTCCTGTTATAAATAAATGTTATAACATCATTAGTTGCCTGTAATATATAAAAGTTATAACATCATTAGTCTCCTGTAATATATAAAAGTTATTACAACATTAGTCTCCTGTAATATATAAAAGTTATAATATCATTAGTATCCTGCAATATATTAAAGTTATAACATAATTACTTTACTGTAAAATATAAAAGTTGTATAATATTATTAGTTTCGTGTAATGTATAAAAGTTATAACATCATTAGTATCCTGTAATATATAAAAGTTATAACATCATTGGTTTCCTGTAATATATAAAAGTTATAGCATCATTAGTTCCCTGTAATATATAAAAGTTTTAACAACATTAGTATCCTGTAATATATAAAAGTTATAACATCATTAGTCTCCTGTAATATATAAAAGTTATAACATCATTAGTATCCTGTAATATATAAAAGTTATAACATCATTAGTTTCCTGTAATATATAAAAGTTATAGAATCATTAGTTTCCTGTAATATATAAAAGTTAAAACATCATTAGTTTCCTGGTCCTATACTATACCCTCTATAGGACAAGGTCGTACAATATAACTATAGGCTTTTATAATTCAATGTATATGTTTCCTAAAGTCCTTGACAAGTTCTTTCATATTAGTGTCTGTATGAAAATATCCCATCAACGTATTACTTGTCCAATTTCATGTTTCATAAATGTAGCCTAAATTTTTGTTCTTTTTTTTTTTTCAAAAATGAAATGGGGTTTAACGTCCCACTGTTCTGCTCCTAACCTGGGCTAATGAAGGAAGACGGGCATACGCCATACAGTGTGCTATGGGGGAAATTTTGCCTGGGCAGCGGCGCTACGGCCTACTCTTATATCGAATTCCAACTGCCAAGGGATCTTTTATGTGCACGCCAATGTGTACACAGGACCTCGGTTTTTCGTACCATCCGAACGACTAGATAGCTGTCCTTGTCAGGCCCTCCGTCCTGCATCACTGACAAGGGGAAACCATTTTTTTTTTCAATTTAAAAAAAATTGTTAACTTTTACATAAATCATATTAAAAATATTGTTTTTAGGTTCAGTTTCCAAGAAGTAGGATCAACTGCCCAACCTCATGGGTTTTCTGTGCTGCGTTCCCACTGCAAAAGACCCTTACTGACAAGCAAATTATTGAATTAAAATGGTGGCTTATATTAGTCCCAAAATAACCTAGTCTGAATCAAGTGGAGTTAAAACCCTCTCTACATCCTTCTTTCTTGAAATGGATATTTTAGAATTTGCGTGATGGGGGCAAATGTAATGCAAAATAACAAACAGTCGTCAAATTAAGTCTAACCCTGTTCATTGATAACCACTTTTCCTGAAAAAAGGGAGTCTTATTTTTCATCTGAATGATTGTGAATTTACTTAGGAGTAGGCTACACAACCAGTTATTCTACCAAGTTTCATGTTAATTCATTAAAAAACAATTTTTTTACATAGAACTTGAACCAAATTACCACTTTTTGGAACAGATTTTGATTTCGGACTGAAAAAAAAAAATAATAATAATAAAAATTGAATATTAAAAAAAAAGTAGAAGCCTGATCCTAAAAATTTAAACGGTTTCGAAATTCTAATATTCGGGCAATTATTTCTGTCAGGTTTCAAAGCAATTGCTCCCAAAAATAAAATTTGGTTGGTACATGCTAATTTACTGTCTGATTCATCGTAAATTTAAACGGATTTCTTCGATTATGAACAAACTACTTAACGTTGGTTATTATAAACTTACCTGTGTGTTTGTAATGAACTCCCGTTCGATAAAATCCATTGCACAACTAATTATCACAACGATGAAAACAAGTTCTCTCTTGAAAAATTGAAATATCACCAACTTTTCCCAGAGAAAAATACCAATATGGAAGATGGTTACGTCACTCTGCGGAAGATATCATTTCGTATTAGGGGTGACAGCATAGGAAATTCAAGTACAATTACGACAAGAATCCATGACCACTCGGACCAAAGATCACTCGGTTCAAGACCAGTCGGACCAAGTGATAGACCAGTCAGCCCAAACAAATAGACTACTCGGACCATACAAAAAGACTATTCGGACCCAACAGAAAGACGACTCGGACCAATAATAAAATGTTGTTTTAATAAATTGATAATTGCGTTTGTTTTAATATAATTACTCGAACCAATAATAAAGTGTTATTTTAATAAATTGATAATTGTGTTTATTTTAATATGACTACTTGAACCAATAATAAAGTGTTATTTGAATAAATTGATAATTGTGTGTGTTTTAATATGACTACTCGAAGTAATAATAACTTGTTGTTTGAATAAATTGATAATTGTATTCCAAATCGCAAAATATCGAGAACCACACTTGTAGTCACGTTTAAAAAGGGGCATATAAACGTCCGGTCTTCCAGTGACCGCCCTAGACACTTAAAACCTTTAGCCAAATTTTTAGCCAAATCAAAATTTGATTAGCCAATTCAGGAAGTTGTAGCCAAATATTTTATATCATTTTTATTCAAGTTTGTTTATTACATATGAAAATAAATGTTTAATATGTACTTATTTTGTACACTAGAGTATTATTTTATATCATTGACTGTCCAAAAGTTTACATTTTCAGGAAGAATAAATACAGATAACAAAAAATGTTTATAGGACAGATTACTTCAGACACATGATTTAGTTCGTCCGCATAGTAGAAAAGACACGACGTTCCTTCTTAAGGCACCACTCATCAAACGCTCTTACAAATTCAAAATCTATGCTTTCCGGTCCTTCCATTTTTATAAGCATGAGATCATTGAGTGAGGTTACTTTTAAATTTGAACGTCGACTGTTCTTAATATAGTTCTGGTGTGAAAACCCCCTCTCTGCATCCACTGTTGTAGGTGGAATAACAAGACTAAGTTCAGCCAGTTTACAGACTGATGGATACATATTTTCATACTTCAAAATAACTTCTCTTATAAAAGACTCATGTGATAAATGGGAATACTTTTTAGATATTAGTAAATGTTTGAATCCAGTCCACTCAGATAACAAAGTGGTTTTATTATCAAACATTAATGGAACTGTGGTACCGGTAATCAACTGATTATGTTTATCAGTTTTATAATTAGAATTATTTTCACTGAAATGAGTGAATAAAATGTCCATGGACTCAATTCCATAATTTTCTGGAAGTTGGTAAGTTTCATTTTCTTGATACAATTCTCTTCTATCAAACACAGAAAGTGCTTTCACAACATTATCATTAGGACTAAAACGAGCACTAAGATTTTCAATTAAATTGGTAATAAATTTCTCCTTCACCTTCTCAAACTTCTTGACTAGATCAGCATTTAGGTTAATTAAATGTCCCTTAAAGTCAAAGTTTGGGACAGGTTTTGCACTACCCCACCCAAAAGGCAAAGATTTCGAAAATTCCACAAATACTGGTCCATCATGTAACTGGAGTTCTGATAAATTACATATGGTTAATTCTATTTGATTTATTGTGTCTGCATAAGAAAGATTGCTTCTTTGTAATGACAGACACAGTCGATTGAGGGGCTCTAACACGTCAGCCAAATAATGAGTCAATGCTAAAAAATCAAATTTGGACATTTTCTTAACAAATCCTTGAGCCTTAACCTTCTGACGCCCATCTTCATTAACAAGACAAGAAAGAATGCTGTCATATGTTTTCAGTACTGTGTTGACTGTAGCATGGAAACTAAGCCACCTTGTGGAAAAAGCTTGCTTAATTTTCAAGTGGGCTTCCCCAAGATGAGTCTGTGATGATTTTAGATTCCTGGTTGTCCTTGGCGAGTCCTTGAAAAATTTTGCAAGTTCATTTAAAGTTTGTTGATATTTATCCAATTCTTGTATGCTTGAGGCAGCTTGACCACTGGCAAGTGCAAGTTTGTGGGCAGCACAATGAAATGAGAGTATTAAGGGGTTATCCAATTTAAATCTTGTTGTGACCCCTGTTTTTGAACCCACCATAGTGGAAGCCCCATCAGTACCAAGACTAATTAAATTATTTTGATTTAAGTCCTTTTCTTCAAGTGTATGTTTAAGTAACTTATAAATTTCAGCAGCTGTGCACCCCTCATAAAGTTCTTTTATGGCAAGGAATTTAGTTCTTACAATGCCGTTTGTTACAAATCTGATGTATATGATTAAGTTTTGTATATTACTTGTATCTGTGGATTCATCAAAAATCAAAGAATAAAATTTTGCTCCTTTAATTTTGCTTAAATTATCAGTTTCAATTATATCTGCAATAACGCGAATCATGTCATCCACAGAGTTATGACTGGTATAGCTTAACTTCAATCCACTTTGTTCGTTGCTATCTTTATTTAAATTGTTAGTATTACTACCTAAAATATTTAAACTTTCAAGGCCCTGATCGATTAAAAGTTTATTTAGGCTGTCCAGTTTGTCTTTGGGCATTTCTTCCTTTATAAGCCAGTAGACATTCTTCATTATAGAAATGATTCCTGTTTTAATTTTGGTATTGACACAGGAAATGGCCTTAGGCATGTCCTGATTGTCCTGAGCTGTCATGGCGGCTATACTAAATTTATGATCTGTCGATTTTTCATGTTTCTTAAAGTCGTCACTTTTGGGGTTATTAGTGTCTTTTCCAGAAGTAAATACGTTACTTTGACCAGACTGGAGGCATAATTTACAAAATATATAACCACCTTCAATTTTCAACCAATGAAATTGCTTTAACCAGTAACTCTTAATTTTACGTTTTTCACAAGTTTTGCGTTCAGCTGTGATACTTGTACTACCACATGTACTGTCATTGTCCACACCCAAATTATTAGAACTCGTAGAGGGCAAGTTCATGTCTATAGTTGTTGTCAGGTTAACGTCAGTCCGGTCTGGGTTCAAGTTAATGTCTAATTTTTGTCTACATGTAGTCGATGGAGCCAATGACGGATTTGGGTCACAGGTGACACTCTGACTCTCGGTCTCGGAAGAAGATTGTGGATTAACAATAACACGCGTAGTCGTAGGAAGGAAAAAGGAATCTATCCTCCTTACTTTGGGTTTACTTGAATTAGTTGTCATTATTGTGCGAGAAAGTTTATTGTGCTGATATTTGCTACGTACGTAAGCATAGAAATATTGTAGTTAAGCGGATGTAAACAACGCAGCGCCACACAAAAGGGGCGTAACTGTGTTGAATACTCGAGACTCGATCTTTCGGTCGTTTTAATGCGTAGCATTGACTGATTTGCGACCTGTAAGATTGAGACTAGAGTAATTAATATACTAAAAATAGACACTCCATCGAGTCGATCGAAAGAAGCTTTGAAAGTTTGAACGATACGATTTCAAGTTTAATATTATCAGATTTACGAAATAGCACTCTCTAAAATTCATTCGCCAAAATTTTCGCCAGCATCATCATGTTATTCGCCAATAAAAATAATTATAGTCACTGGCGAATTGGCGAATGTCTAGGGCGGTCACTGGTCTTCGTATTATTATGTGCTATTTATATTAACGCATCAAGGGCGGATAACTTGAAAATGTGTCTCCACCCCCCCCCCCCATATATAGTAACCCAGGGGTTAGTGGGGTAGAACGGAATGAAACCACTGGGGATACCGCGAATGTGGAAAAATGAAAATAAGGCTATCAGACAAGAACAGTATACCCGTATATGTAGAAACTGTCAAAAGTCTGGACATACCGAGTCTCATTGCAAGAGTAAAGAAAAATTAGATTGATATTTTTTTTTGGAACCATTATTAATTAATTTTAAAACTAATCGTTGATTTATTTACGTACACAAAATTGAACCAAACAACTCTAAATATAAGAATTCCGTATAAGAATTATTTGCTTCTTTGTATTGTGATTTAATAATAAATAAATAGCATATTGTCTAGCCTTATAATATAATTTAATTGGTCCGACTGGTCTTGTTTTGGTCCGACTGGTCTTAGTCCGAGTAGTCTTTGGTCCGAGTGGTCTGGATACCTACGACAATTGGCATTGAGTTTGAGCGTTCGCACACATAACTACCCGCATTCCTGTATTTAGTTACCGTCTTTTACATTCTATTTTTACGCGCATCCGTGCAATCAGTGATATTTCAAATGTGAAGAAAATTTGATAGACTGGCGATCAATGGTTTCCATATAAATCTCCTATGTAATTGCCTTCAATTGATATTTTTCGTCGCCCAAACCCATATACGATCAAAATGATCGCGCTGTCAAACTATCTTTCAATGTTAACCAACCCCCGCAACAGGTATATTGGATTCGACCAATACGTCACGAAGACATTGTTGACATCGACTCTGTCGAAATTACAAGTAAATTTTTAAATTTTTCAAGAGAGAAATTGTTCTCATCGTTGTGATAATTAGTTGTGCAATGGATTTTATCGAACGGGAGTTCATTACAAACACACAGGTAAGTTTATAATAACCAAAGTTAAGTAGTTTGTTCATAATCGAAGAAATCTGTTTAAAATTTACGATGAATCAGACAGTAGTGCATAACATTGGCATTGTTGGTTGATCTGACTACTTTGTTCATTCATCTTTCCATTTCTGTTTTTATTCTCTTTTATCCTTTGTATGTGGATTATGGGTTAGGGCCCATTAACTTGGGATTGAGAAATGAGCGCTTAGCCTATTTCAGACCTGAACATGGGACAAAATTTGAAATCTGCAAAACATTAATTACATTTATGTACGAAAATTGCTTTTATTTTCTTGGAAATATCACATCAATATCTCTCTTTTAATCTCCCCCTTACTCATTCTCACACACCACAAGCTTCAGTATTCACTCCATTGTTTATTCAGACAAAGAGATTTTCCTCTTCTCTTTGTTGAAAAAGGGCCAACTAAAAAATTTTATATTATGGATTATTCAATATTTAAAAATAGCTGCCGGTCGATACTTATAATAATAATAATAATAATAATCGTTTTCTATAGCGCTGAACATTCAGTCAGTCTGACTGTTCTGTGGCGCTTTACAATGTATAGTAAAGATACGATTATAAAAAACACACATGTATGTACAAATAAACAAAAGAATACAAAGAAATATAGTCTTACCATATCGATTATTTAAAACTACGGTTAACGTAAAATCACTTCCGAACGTTACTTATACTAGTTATAGGTACCGTGGAGTAGATTACACTTTTAAGGGGCGATTTAATACAATAAAATCTTATTTTACCATGTTGATTACATCCCAAACTTTGGCTACCTGTAGATGAGTCACTGGGTGCGGCACGTGTTCATTATTTACTTCTGTGAATCTAGGTCACTGTTGCCCGCCAAAACAACATTTCCGGTGTATTATATTTTAAGGTTGTATCTCGATTAAAGACACGGATCAACCCAACACGAATAATTCATCTTTCAAATTCAAACTCGCATGTAAAAAATCATCAACTATTCCTTTCTTTATCAAAAAGATCAATAGAATAATGTAGGTTACTATAGTAATCCTTATAAGATTACATGTCATTTTGGGACCCACGTCATTTGGGACTCGCGTCATTTGGGACTCAAAAAAATATGACCACGACGTTTGGGACTTTGGTATATGTCGTTTGGGACTCGGGTATACGACGTTTGGGACTCGGGTATACGACGTTTGGGACTCAGGTATACGGCGTTTGAGGCGTTTGAGGCTCGAGAAAAAATGGTGGGCACACAATGCCAATTGAATTATAAATATATTTTATTATAATAAAAAAAATACCAACGATTTAAATAAAATTTATTTTAACAATACATTTATTTAATACATAATTCACAGATTGAATAAAATTTATTTTAAGAATACATTTATTTAATACATAATTCACAGATTGAATTGAATAAAATTTATTTCAACAATACATTTATTTAATACATAATTTACAGATTGAATAAAAATTATTGTAAAAAGATAAATCAAGAAAATAAATGTTGTGTAGATATAACAGTTGCTATTTATCAGGTTCTTTTTTGCTATCTCTGGGTACTGGGTACTAATTACTATAATTGTTCGGGGGGTGGATGGCCGAATGGTTAGCGTGCGCGCGCTGTATCACGAGGCCTGTCATTGAGTCAACTGGCGTGGTTTCGAATCCCCGGTTGTACGTGACAAGGAGTAGGGTCGCCTGTCCAATCTCGTGGGTTTTCTCCGGGTCCTCCGGTTTCCTCCCACTGCTAAAGACCCCTATGCGCAAGCGAATTATTGAAACAAAATTAAACCTAGTCTGTGTCGAGTGGACGTTAAACCCCATTTCTCTTTCTCTCTCTCTACAATTCTTCGAATCAACTTAGACGGAATATCTGTACTCATGACTTCAGCTAATTGATTACACAAGCCATTAATTTAATCAAATTTACATAGCTGGTGGTCCAAAAGTAGGAATATGCAATGTAAGTTGCTGAAATAATATGACGATAAATGTCGATATTATAGCGATGTATGAATGCAAGTATGCAATTACTAAGGTCTTGTTTATACGGAGTTTCGGCTATTATTATCCCAAATACATTATGCAATTAGTGAATTATGCAATTACTGACGTGAATAGAGTATGCATAAACTAACATGTTTGTTGTTTAAAAGACGACTATCCGTTAGGCCTAACCGTGGCCGGTTCATTTCAAAATGGATTAAGAACCCTGGTCCATATATATAAGATATTTTTTTTTAATAGTTTGCTGTTGAAATTTCCCCACCGTTGTACCTTTCCCAAATATTAAACAGCTTTCCCTCCACCTGCTTGTATTTTTTTTTTTTTTGATGTCGTCTCAAAGACACCTTGGACATCATGACAATATCTAATTCTATTTTTGACGATTCAATATATAACTCACAAATTAACAAATAAAATGGCAACATGAAAACACACCACTGTTCAATGGGAAATAAATTTGAACGGATCCACGTTTCCTCGACATAAGTAAGGACGGGCGCGAAATCTTCGGGGCATCTTTCTTTTAGATGAAAAAACATGTCTTCGATATGTTGTGCTGGTATGACAGGTAACGCCATTAGCTTTCTACAGTACTCGTATGCCTCTTTCTTTTGGTTGTATACAGTCTGAAATTAAATATTAAAATGTTGGTTATATACAGTATGAAATTAGTGATTATATTGTACCACGTATATCTATATTGTAGAATTAAAGAAGAATATATTGTAACATGTATATCTATATTGTAGAATTTTAAAGAAGAATCTATGTACCGTACCTGAAAGCCCTTTTCTTGGATTTTCTTGAACACTGCCTGGGTCCAGTGAAAAAATACAGACCTGGATGCGTATACCTCCGAAGCAACGTCGTAACGCCTGCCACAAACCTGCTTCAAAATCAACAACACACGCTTCCAGGGCTATGTCTTCTGGCAGAAGTTTATGGACTGCACGAAGCACCTGTAAATAAAATGAAAAGTGTAAATTTAAATATTTGTCAATTTAAAATTCAATCTGTTTTAATATTTGTCAATTTATAAGACGTTTATAATTTACTATTAATATTAATCCCCACTTATACAGTCAGTATTACCTTATAATAGTCGTCTTGGCTTTTACCCGACATCACACCAATGGCAACTGTCGGGTGGTCTCTCCAGTCTTAATGATTGCATGGATTGAAAAAACACTTATATGGATATACTACTTCTGAATTTATTAACATGCTACGTTTCGATACACATACAGATATCGTTATCAAGTAAATCACATACAGTCACAGATTCGTTCGTTCCTAGAGTTTTACCGTTTACGTCCACTTCCACCTAAGGTGATATCGTAGTTATGGTTTCCCCTGCTAATTAGTGTTTAATTGTTAGCTACTATCTCTCATCTCGTTAATCTCTTATAATTATTAGTTGGATCTGCTAAATTCAAATAATTTCTAATTGTCATCAATACATTACAGCCTTTCATCTTGTGGGGGATCAGGTGGCTAAGTGGGTAAGATGCTGGCTCGCTAGCCTGGAGGTCTGGTGTTCGATCCCTGCATTGGCCGAGAAAGTTCGCCCAGATCTTCCGGCATGGTTCCCCCTTGTCAGTGATGCAGGACGGAGTGCCTGACAAGAACTAGCTGTCTAATCCTTCGGATGATACGAAAAACCGAGGTCCCGTGTATACATTGGAATGCACGTAAAAGATCCATTGGCAGTTGGAATTCGATATAAGAGTAGGCGATAGTGCCGCTGCCCGGGCAAAATTTCCCTCATAGCACACTGTATGGCGTATGCCAGTCTTCATTAGCCCAGCATAGGAGCAGAACAGTAGGACGTTAAACCCCATTTCATTTCATTTCATTTCATTTCTTTCATCTTGTTTATCCTTTGTAATTATTTATCCATATTATTACTTCTCTCATCTTCTTAATTGTTATATGGTTTTCAATTGTTATCTATATATTGCACCACATTTTTGTTAAATATCATTATTTGCTTGATAACGATATTTGTATGTGTATCGAAACGTAGCATGTTAATAAATTCAGAAGTAGTATATCCATATAAGTGTTTTTAATTAGGTTACTATAGTATTTTATGTGATTCTACAGAATTCAACCAATCTGATTAAAATACAGGGGCCCGTTTCACGAAATTTTAACTAAGATAAAATCCAAACTTTAGTAATTTGATTGGATAATATTAGATTGATTTTAGTGCTTAACCAATCAAAATCGAAGTATCTACTAAAATTTGGATTTTATCTTTAGTTAAAATTTCGTGAAACAGGACCCTGAACTATATATTTCGTTTCGTTTTTTATACTTTCGATGGCCTACACTACATGAAGATCTGACAAGTTATAGCGAAAGGTCGCGCCAGGGGTCAAAAGACCGACTTATGACCCTATGGCGTCACACATTTGATTAACCAATCAGCATTGCTGTTACTAGTGGATTACCCACAGTTCCGTGCAAAACACGCCTAAAGCTCGCCATAACAGACCGTTTCATTGGCTTATCCCCGACACCATTCAGAACAGGAGTCAAATAACAACTCTTCCAGATCTATGTTGTAGTAAAGACAAGTAAAACGAAATTTTGAACTATAAAAAACGAAACGAAATAGATTGGAATTCAACAAAATATAAGAGAAGAAAGAGTTTATTCAGTAGATTTGTTTACAATACTACAGATTTGAAATAATTTACAATACTCTTGTATAGGATCGTTAGTTGATTGAGAAAATCTTAAAAAAAGGAATTAATTTAAAGATTTATTAGTTTTGGTGGAGTTGGCTGTAAAAACTGTAGTTTTACATAGAACTTAAATTGTGTTTGAGAGAGAGAGAGAGAGAGATAGAGAGGAGAGAGGAGAGAGAGAGATATGGGGCTTATGTCCACAAGACAGAAAGTAGGTCATTTCCGGATTAACATATTGTTCAGTTTTATTTCAATTTTATTTCAATAATTTGCTTCGGGGTAGGGATCTTTAGTGGTGGGAGGAAATCGAAGGAAGCATAGAAAATCTTATAATTTCATTTGCACTCCCTCAAAATTGGACACATTTCTTTTTTCTACAGTTCACTGTTCTACAGTTTGCCTTTTGGTGGTGTGTTCTACAGTTTGCCTTTGGTGTTCTGTTCAACCGTTCGTGGTGTGGTGATCGTGTTCTACAGTTCGTGGTGTGGTGGTCATGTTTGACTGGCTTCAGTGAAATTAAACGAAGTTTAATGTCTTACCTATCAGCACTGACTTATCCTTAGTCAGGCCCAGAGCCCTTCAACCTTCATCGCTGACATAGGGGAACCACACTGGGAAATCCTGATGAATATTCTCGACCAACGCAGGGATCGAACACAGGACCTTCAGGTATTACGAGCCAACATCTTACTCACTGAGCCATAGTGGCTCCCTATTGGGCCTATAATCATGCTCGTAAAAATGAAATGGGGTTTAACGTCCCACTGTTCTGCTCTGACTGGGCTAATGAAGACGGGCATACGCCATACAGTGTGCTATGAGGGAAATATCGCTCGGACAGTGGTGCTACGGCCTACTCTTAAATCGTATTCCAACTGCACGCAAATGTGTACATGGGACCTCTGTTTTCTGTCCCATCCGAACAACTAAACAGCTGTCCTTGTCAGGCCCTCGGTGCTACGGCCTACTCTTAAATCGTATTCCACCTGCACGCAAATGTGTACATGGGATCTCTGTTTTCTGTCCCATCCGAACAACTAAACAGCTGTCCTTGTCAGACCCTCCGTCCAGCACCACTGACAAAGGGGAACCACGCCAGAAAATCCCAATGAGCATTCTCGATTAACTTCGGTAAATATCCAGTCATAAACGGTGGTGTGTTGTCAAGTAGGGTGGGACGATGGTGTAGTATTGGGTAGTATTTGGTGATATTGGAGTGGTATTCGGGTGGTATTG